TTTGTGACATATACAAAACATCAACTTTAACTATTTCCCATTAACTATAAAACCGAAGATATAATTAAGTAATATATAGCGTAAGGATCAATCTTAACTATATCTTAAGTTATTTTTAATACACTGTGGAAACTTATTGATTGATCCATGCTTCGAACAATGGGCGGTATAAAAATGAGTTATTGAAATGTATCATAGAATATGCTTTTCAATATTGAAGATATTATGTAGCAACTCAAACTTTATTAGTAATGATCAAAGGTTGTTTTGCTTACATTGAATCTATTCTGGTATTTCCTATGGTAAAAGGAATCAGGTTAAATACTTTCTTCAAAGAAAGACTTTATATTATACACTCCGTTAACATCGACAAAAGAGCATTACAACTTACTCATGAAGTGTTGAGTAAACATGAATAGGTACGAATACACCAAACAAAACATACGAAAAGTCACTACTACTTTTAAAGCTTTAGTTAACAGTTCACAGTATACCAAGTATCAATGTTACTGTAAACCGAAGACAATTTTGATTAAATTATAAAAAACAACAACAACATAATTTAGCAACTCATATCAATTGTGACTCAATAAGGCTGGATAGAATGTTTCAGGGACACTTGTTGATAACGTGAAAGATAGCGATTCTGATTAACTTAATATTAAGCCATCTACTAACTGCATCTTTAACAAGTACTCTTGTTATTCTACCCAAACTTTCATTCTTCATCTCGCTTCAAATTAATCAAGGGAACTATAAGAATGAGAAAACCATTGATTTCTGGATGTTTCAAGTTTAAATGAGAACAGACTTTATTACTTTAATTGATTTGTATCCAAAAGTGCCTTATATGTTTATTAATTTTCACCTTAAACCTACTCTGGTAATATTGACTTATAATCCAGAGTAATTAGGTTTCCAATTGTGTTCACATTATTATTATTACTCATTTTTATTATCCTTGTCTTCTCTTATGTAGATAAAGGCATTCGACAGTGTAGATAGGAGGACATTATGGAAACTTATTCGACACTACAGAGTTCCTCAGAAGATTGTCAACATTATCCGGAACTCATACGACGGACTACAGTGAAAAGTAGTGCATAGAGGACAGCTGACAGATGCATTCCAAGTAAGGACCGGAGTCAGACAAGGCTGCTTACTCTCTCCCTCCCTTTTTCTTCTGGTGGTCGACTGGATTATGAAGACCTCAACATCTGAAGGAAAACACGGAATACAATGGACAGCTCAGAATCAATTAGACGATTTGGACTTCGCAGATGACCTAGCCCTCCTATCACGTACACACGAACAGATGCAGATGAAGACAGCCAGTGTAGCAGCAGTCTCTGCATCAGTAGGCCTCAGCATACACAAAGGGAAAACCAAAGTCCTCAAATTCAAAGCGGAAAACAGCAATCCAAGCACTCTTGATGGTGAAACTCTGGAAGATGTAGAGTCCTTCACATACCTAGGGAGCATCATCGATGAACAAGGAGGTTCAGATGCAGACGTAAAGTGGAGGATCGGCAAAGCAAGGGTCGCATTCCTACAATTGAAGAACATATGGAACTCAAAACAACTTTCAACCAATATCAGATTGAGAATCTTCAATACGAACGTCAAGGCAGTTCTATTGTATGGAGCTGAAATTTGGAGAACTACAACAACCACAATCAAGAAAGTACAAGTATTTATAAATAGTTGTCTATGCAAGATATTCAACATCGATTGGCCGGATACCATCAGCAATAGCCTTCTGCGGGAGAGAACAAACCAACTTCCAGCTGAAGAAGAAATTAGGAAAAGACGATGGAAATGGATAGGACATACATTACGCAAATCGTCAAACTGCATCATGAGGCAAGCCATAACTTGGAATCCTGAAGGGAAGCGAAAAAGAGGAAGGCTAAAGAACACATTGCGTCGGATAATAGAAGCAGATATGAAAAGGATGAATTACAACTGGACGGAGCTAGAATGGATTGCCCAGGACAGGGTTCGATGGAGAATGCTGGTGAGCGGCCTATGCTCCTTCACGAGGAGTAACAGGCTCTAGTAGTAGTAATAGTAGTGTCTCCTCTTATCCTATTTCCAGTCTAGTTGACCTTTTATGTTTTGGTATATAAATGTTTTTACCAAGTATATGTGTGATCAGATTGTTCGAAATGTATTGTGCTAATATATCATCACATAGTTTTGATAATCTTCGTCTTCTTATTACATTATTGACATTTGATTTAATTTATTAGTGTTTTTACTGTGAATGGACTTAAATGACTTTTGAAATTTTCTATGAGAAAATGTAAATGACAAATTGGTGTCCTTATAATCGGTGGAACTTTGTCAATAAATGTAAGTTATATAATGAAACATAATAACATAATGCATAATATACTTCATTTCTCTAGTTCAAATCATGATTCAATTGAAGCTAGACCATTATGGAAAACCTGGGCGCACTGGGCGGCCGTTTCGTCCTAGTATGGGACTACTCAGCAGCGCGCATTCACGATCCCGCCCCGCGCGAGATTCGAACCCAAGACCCATCAGTCTGGCCCGAGAGCGCTTAACCATTAGACCACTGAGCTGGCAAGCATCCAGCTGTGTTAATAAAAAAGGAACCAATGGAGTGGAGAAATTTCTTCTCAATATATATATATATATATATATATAAAGACGAAACGGCCGTCTGGTACTTTCAGGTTTTCCATGGTGGTCTAGCTTCAATTGACTCATGATGTCAACTATTGAAATTACTACAATCTCCACAAAACCCCTTCTGACAATAATCAAAGTATTTATTCGAGAATCAAGCAGCATAATATTTAAAGAAGTGAAGAAAATAACAGAATATTTTGATGAGTTGTCAATAGTATAGTAGTTATGTAAGAATCAAGAGACTAATGTTAAGAATAAGTAAAATCCGAAAAAAATACATGAAAATGGAAGAAATACGAAAACAGTTTATCACATTTCTGCTACAAACTCTTCTATAGCGATGGCCAAGGTAGCAAGAGTGGTTGTACAAACTTCTATTGGATGTAGAGGTTAGGCTTATGAACATAGATTGCAATGGTTTCAGTAATGTGCAAAAGATGAACTCGTAAACTATGTGGCAAATTTAATGGAATATGGTGGATAACCTTAAAAGCTTTATTGAGTTTAGTGAATAATATCAATAAAAAAAGACATTTATTATTGATTTGATAAAACCGGTGACCAGATATAATGATGACCTAATTTCAGCAGGGTTAGCTGAAGGTTCTTGTTAGGGATTCTGAGGAATATACCAATCATTATCATGTTAAGTCTAATGATGTCCTTGGACTTTAAATGGACATTCCTTATTGGCCATTATTTATTTCACTCGTTAAATATTGTACAGATGTTGTTTTCTATTTTTATGGTACGATGTAGGCTGTTTGGTTGGTATATAAACAGAGTATGTTTAAAATATAACGATTCATATCTCAGAGGCTAAGACTTGCGTTCTGGACTCAACTAGCTGGGCTAGACAGGGAATCGAGGCGAATCAGAACTCTAGGCCGTTCATTACGTGTTTATGTGTTACTGTAATCGATCGATAAAACGCTGCTCTATCTAAACTACAATCCACCCGTTACAACAGTTCTAACTTTTTAATCCATTCATTCAATCAATCCTAAGCAACATAGAAATTAACAAAAGTAAGTAATGAATAGACTGTAGCTCTTCACATGAATATTATGGACAAGGCATTTAGGAAAAAACCGGAATTGAAATAATCAAAATGATTACATATATAATAGTATAAAACACAACATAAAATATACGGTTGGAAAAATGATGACATGAATGTATAAGAAACCTTATATAATAAATGATATAAAAATGAACTTAATTTCACTAGTAATCGATTTCAAGCTATTTCAACTTAGATTTTCATTCATAGATAACGATTATTTCACAGACCTTAATAAGAAAGTTTAGGCCATTTGATCTAACTGAAAGTGAAAGTCAGTAATTGTATATCTTGAAATCACTAGTGATTATACTAGCCGCTTCTTTTATTGTCAAGGTGGAGAATGTCTCTAACATGTATTAACTATTGAGAGCCATTAAAGTTTCTGTTTGTTTATAACCTCACAAGTTGATTTCCCACTTTTGTTTCACATCGTAAACACATCGAATTTACTTGATTGCTTGTGATCTAATGCTAACTATCTAAGGATGTTTTCTATACAACCGACTGCTGGAAATAACGTTTTCTTCGATTGAATTTTCAGAAATCGATCTCCTTCCAGGAGGTCCACTTATCGACATAGAATACTCAGATGACATAGTTTTGTTTGGTGAAAATGCCAATAAAATGCAGAGTCTTTTGGTAGCACTAAGCAGCAATGACAGGATGTTTGGGATGCATTATTCTTTCTCTAAATGCAAATTGTCACATCTGGATTGGCCTGCTGCAATAGCTGTACTAAGGAATGGGAGTGAAGTAGTCGAACACGTCAACAACTTCACTTATGTTAGAAGTCTGATCAACCCAACCGATACGTGGCATCAGTGCTTGAAGTCACTAACCTCTAGCCTTAGCCATGTTGGTGGATACAGACTACTTGGTCGGAGTACGCGTGACTATCGTAACCAATGGTTGGAGAGTGTTGGTGACATGGTTCAGAATCGATCTTATTAGAGTCGGTGTATACGCTCTTTGTCTGTCCTTAAACTGTGAGATTAGAATTACTATATACCTTTCTTTCTACGAACTAATTCCTTCCTGTACCATATCCTTATATGCAATCTTTCTTTTAGATATTACTACCATTGTAGTAACTACTTCTATGACTTTGGTGATCATCTTGTTGTGTTAATGAGGTATGGCAACTTGGACCAATGCATATATGTGTCTGGTCCTACGTTGTAGCTGACTGACTGACTGACTGACTGATTATTAATTTTTCTTCGAGCTCACTAATTTTAATTACATTTTTTTTGTATTTAATTAAATTTTAGAAATGCATTCTACAGTACGCAGTGTATTTCATATTTTAAACCTAATCTGTTTAGTAAGTGAATAATCTTTTTTTTGATGTAAACTATTTGTTCACATACTAATTATGTTAGTTTAAAAACAATTGAACTGTCATCCAGATCAAGTTTTACATGGACTCTCATAGTTAGGCTATATTGTATAGAAAGATTTTTCGAGTGAGATTTTCATAATAATTCAGCATAACAATATATCTTACTGTTATGCTTTCATTAGGTGAAATGACTTAATTCCGACAACTGATCCACGGTTTGGTGATATATTAGTCAAGAAGTAGTACTCAAGAATTGAAGGTGGCCATATCTTGTATCCACTTAGTGAGCTCAGAAAAGACTTCTTACTTTTTCTTCTCTTGCTTATGTTTAGCCACATTCTGAACTTGATAATCATAATTGGTTGACTAATGAATTGCCTTCTCAGTGTATTTCATAGACGAAGCAAAGATTTTTCGCTGACATTGTTAGTTTTACGCAGTAGTTTTAGACACAACAATTTTTATGTCGCGGTAGTGACTTTTTTTCGTTATTAGGTTTTGACGTATGTTTACTCAATAGTTCTTGAGTAAATTTTAGTGCGCTTTTGATGGCGTTAACGGAGTGCATAATTTAGTCTTTGAAGAAGGTATTTAACCAGATTTATTTTACTATCATGATGATATCAGGCTCATGAATTAGAAATTATCATCAACAAAACATAAAAGAAGTTATCATTGCCTTTCTCATTCATTATGATATTAACTGGTGACGAAGGCCCTCTAGGACTTTTAGCATTTACGTGGATGGACGGAGCGATAATCTATTTTTATGGATTATTGATATGCTATAAAGTGTATTACTAAACCTGTAAGCCAGAAACATTTTCATACATTTGTGAAATGACTGTTAGTCGATAACTCTTGAAATTTCCTATTATAACTTATCACATATAAGCAATTCACATTGTTATGGAGACTACTCATACATTTTCATATTATTTTCAAAATGGTGCTCTGTAGAAATGAGCTTTTTACCTGTCAGAGTAAAGTCATAAGACTTTAACAAATATCAGTAAACAATTAAATCATTAACTTTTAAAACAATTGTTTGTCGTTAAAAGAGCGATAGGATGATGGCTTAAACATGAATGGGATTGTAAACAATGTGACATAAGTCAATGAAATATACTAACAACTGTATAAATTAAATCTAATCAAATGTGAAGAATAAAAATGAAGGGTTGTGCAAGATGATGGAACTATTAAAGGTGGATACCAGCTAAGTGGTTTAGCGGTTAAGCACTCACGCACGAAACTGAAACTCTTGGGTTCGAGTCCTGCATTCGGGTCGTGGATGCGCACTGTTGAGGAGTCCCATACTAGAAAAAAACGGCCGCCCGATGCTTCCAGGTTTTCAGTGGTAGTCCATCTTACATCGAATCATGAATTCAACCATTAAAATGGAAAGGAATCTACTTTCAAAATATTAAATTTAATCATGCGTGTTGATAGTAACTGAATGCTGTCATTTTGATCAATAAGTCACATGATAATCAAAGAAATAAAAATGATTAGTGTAATTTATGTTTTCAATGTAACTTCATTGTTGTGCTCTACAAAACGATATAGATAATCCAGTGATTTAATTTAGTTCATTTTATCTGATTGATTTTATTGTAAGTTTATGAGATATGGACGAAATGCTCCGATTTAAGATAACGAGTCTTGGATTTTGGCGCGAAATCCATTCATCCATATGGCTAAATAGCATTTTGATGTTATAGATGATGTCAGTTCGTGATGATAATCCGAACACTAATTTATAACTTTAAGATCCAACTGTAAATCCGAATCCTAACTCATTACATTAATTTATAACCCTATTTTAACTTGTAATAATTTTGTAAACATTCTCAACGTCACTTTACTTTGCTCAAAGGTCGTTCGTAAATCATATTATCACCAATCTTGTTTGTTAAATAATACGGTAACCATGATCAAAAGTACTAAGAATAGAACTAGTTTAGATTGACATCATTGGTGGATCAATGTTAAATCACAATTTGTATTGTATGTATGAAGAAATATTATGAGTTATTTTCAAACACTCACAATTTATAAACACATTTAGCTATCAGTATGGGATTGTGTAGATTGTTGAGTTTTGATTGAGATCATGAGTGGATTCACGTTAGATCACCATTGCAGACCTGAAAGTACTGGACGACCGTTTCGTACAATTGTGGAACTCCTCAATATAGAACATTCACAATCCCGTACATGGGACTCGAATCCTTAGTATCAATCTAAACTCAACAAACTCCAAATACTGATAATAAAATTAATGATAAGATGATATTCACGATAAAATTTAGGACACATTCATAAATCGTTAAATAAACATTTACTATATTTAATATTTAATTAAGACTGTTCATTTTAAAGATAGTTTACGCTAAGCAGCAGTCCACACATAAATGTTCTTGATATGGATCAAATCCAGGAAGTTCAGGTTTCCTAGCAAGCAAATAAAATTTAAATAACCAAGTTGGCTTCTATTAGCATCATACATTTTTACACTTAGAAATTTAACAGTATAGCAAAACTATCATCCGTCACCTTCCTTAATGACAGTATGGTGGTGAAGATTTGTAGCTGAGATGGATGATTTTAGTGGAATTTTGTTCTCTGAGTTGGATAGTTTGGTCTGGAAGCTTTCATCATTCTTCTAAACGAAATCATCAGAAAAGCTGTGAACCACATGTGGAGAAATTTGAACACTTCACTTCTACCTGAAGTTTCTGCTGATGATGTCCTTTAGAAGAATAATGAAAGCTCCACGACCTAACCATCCAGCTCAGAGAACAAAACTCCATCAAAATCCATGACAGTTTATCGTTGGATATGCTTTTTATCATTCTACAAATTTAAACTAACTTTCAATTTTATTTTTCAGTCCATTTTATTATTAGCATTTGTCTTTTTTGTCATTACATTTTGGACGAAACTCTCTGTTAAAATTGTTGAGCCAACATTGAATAAATTACGAATAGATGATGTAAATAATCGAACCGTAATCGATGGAGTGAATAGTGTTGTACGAACTTTTACACGTAAGTTTATAATAATTTCAGTAGTTAAGATCATGAGTCAATTGAAGCTAGACCACCATGGAAATCCTGGAAGCACCGGATGACCGTTTCCTACTAGTATAGGAATCCTCAATAGTGCACATCCACAAAACCCCTTCTGATAATGATAATAACCTTATTTAATCTTATATGCTTGTATCTGTAGTGGCTCAGCTTCGTTAATAAGTCACCTTGATAACCGTTATTATACAAATTCGAATGATGTTTGAATTCAGAAGGAATAAAAGTGTCGACTACAGTTTATTATTAGATAGCACAGATAAAAAGTAACCAGCGACTTTGGAGCAGAGAGGCTAATATGTATAAGTGAGTGAATACAGAGGCGTATTTATAGTCAAATCAAAGCACAGTTAAGCAAGGCGAAGGCTATTAATAGGATTCGAGTACATATATACATAGGATAGAGAAGGATTCATGGAGAGATATTTAAGCGACTGGCATTTAAGTTAGAGCGATATTTGCGTAGGCTGTCACATGTAATCGAGCGTACATGTTTATACAAACATGATAATGGTCATAATACAAAGAAATAGACGGATTACTATTGTTCGAATGACATTGTTAAATAAGTTAATATAAGAGCTTGACAAAATTAACCATAATCGAAATTAATCGTAGGAGTGTTACTATATATCAACCATTTTAATTGTATATCTGATGGTATTTTACGTAACATAGAAAAAACATGATGAATTCACCAACCATTATGATAGTTTCTTTTATCTTTTACATTATAGGGCTATGTTGTAGGCTGTTTATTGCACATTTTTATCTAAATACTTGTTTAATTAAAACCAATTTAACATGAACGACTTCACTGCAACTTTTTGGAAAAAAATATTAGTAGTTTCAAGCAATCTAGTAAGGTTAGAAACATTTTAATGTTTGATAAGTTTATAAATAAGTTAAATAAGATTCAGGTAACTAGTGTGCATCAATCTGAGGTTATTTATTAACTGGATGAAGCTAAATATATAAGTTTACAAATGACTAATTTATTTCTAATTGAGATCCTGAACAGATCAATGTTAGACCATTATTGAAAACCTGGGAGTACTAGACGGCCATCTCATTTTAGTCTAGGACTCCTCAATGGTGCAGACCAACGACACTTCTCACGGGACTCGGAATCAGAACTTTCGGTCTCGTGAGCGAACGCCTCACCTCTAGACCACTGAGCTTGCATCCAACGGTGTTAACGTCTAAATTGAACCAATATAAGATATTGCAAGACGATCTTCTATTGTTTTAGGTGGATAACTCCCTCGCAACCGACTCGCTTGAACTCCACTGTTCACAGCTTTTCACTAGGACTCTGAGAATTGCAATCTTCACAAACCCTATACCGATAATTTACTTTCATCGTAAAATGTATGCATGTAAACATTCATGAACCTAATAGAGAAGATATTCTTACATAATGCAGAAACAATGATTTTTGTCATATGATATGTGTTCTAAATAAGTTCTTGTGTATTCGTTCTTTTAAGCAGAAATAATAAAGTATTTATAGAATAGATGGGTTTGTGGTTAGCATAGTATTTATTTCTTGTTCTGTCTGATAACAGATAAGCTGAAAACGTCTAAGAGAGCATGTAGAGATGGTTTAGTTTTTAAAGAATGGATCACAAACTAATCTTAGTCAGAGAACTGTTGAATACTAGGAAGCAGTGGACAGCCGTTTTATACTAGAATGGGACTCTTCAACTGTAGGCCGTTATTTCAACTTAGGAGATCGAACCAAGGGATTTTAAGTCTCGCAACAAGCGCTAGATTCTCTCACCACTAACCCAGTAACAATAATCATATACAGGTACTACTTTTAAAAGGTAACTCAGTGGGTTTTTTTGAGACCAGTTGAGTTCAACCGTGTTAGGTGAGAGACAGTTATCTAACAAAAGTAATGAGGGATGTTCCCACACAGTTGTGATTCCATTGAAGTTAGATAAGTTACATATTTTCTACCTATTGAGGGGTCCCATACTAGCACGAAATAACTGTCAATAGCTTCCTGGTTCTCAGTAATTGTCTGACTAAAATCTTTCCATGATGTGAAGTATGAAAATAGAAATTTATTAGTCAGATGGCTGATTGGTATATAGACAAATAACAGCTGCTAGTTATGAAAAATGTTTTAAGTAACCTTTCACAACTAGAATCATTATAGAATGAGGACTAACTTTACTTGCAGCTTCAAGAGTTCTGAGCAATATAGTGCAATTGAAGTCATCTATGTTTAGCAATAAATCATGATGCAGTTAAGAAAAAGGGACAGTCATCAGGAATAATGAATCATAGAAATGAGCTGACTGTTAACTCTGAATAAGCAGTTGAGTCTTTGAGATTTTAATACTCAACATAACAGAGATTTAACTAAATATTAGCCAGTCCTATTTTAATATTGATGGATTTGTCATAAAGATCACAACACTACTCTCAATGTTGTGATTTAACCAAAATTTATACTTGGTCTTCTCCAACACAGTCGACCTTATCTGTGAAATAGATGTGCATATAAATTACTTTTATTAAGTTTTATTTCGAGAAATAACACACTGTAATATTTACCAATATACCACATGGTACGTCCTTGATTCGTCTACCCACTTACATGCAGAGGATACTTATCTAATCTAGATTAAGACCTTGACGCGATAGGTTGTCCGGCTTAACCTTGAAGCTAGTATGCATGAGTTCGGAGTGAGGTAGAGAGAAGAAAACGATTGTATCACCTGACTGGCTGACAAGCACGCGAGTGAGATAAGTCAACCAGAACACTACTCGATTTATAACCGATCCCGATCTGACTCCCGATTTCAGATCGGTATAAAACGATACATGAATAAATAGATGACTAAACTGACCACAACGTACAATAATTAGGAAAATACAAAACTGGAGATTATAATAGGAAATAGAGTACAAAATAATACGTTTAAATCACAATAGCTTTAAAACAAAAAGGGCTATGGTAATGAATCATACATCAAACCAAAGTACATGACATGTAGAATAGACTACGGGCAGAAATAAATGTTACTGTTTTACAAGTTGTGAATTAAATGAAAGAATGTCCCCAAAAATATCTTCCGTAGTTTGTCAAGTCTTCTTTTTCTCTGTTCACATCACTATACATTCATGGTGTTTTTTGCTTGATTTATTTAAGGTCCGGTAATTTTACCATTGATGGCGATATCACTTGTATTTGCTTGTATTTATTTCTTTGGAGCACTAATCGCTTTTAATCGAAGCAGTACATTTTTTCTTATGGTAGGTTCCCACAAACTTTAACATATATTCGGATCAAATATAGTTGTTTTTGAATATCATCTTTAAATCCATAGTAATAGATCAAACATTTTTACTTATACTTCTAACTATTGGATGACTCCTGATCAAGAGTATCCATAAAAATATGGAAATAATGAAGTGCAAAATATTTAAATATAATTACAATAATGATAAATGAATATGGTTGCACAAGCAATTGGCTATCAGTACTCAGTAGCTGAGTGGATAACGCGATAGCGTTTGAAGCGAATAGTACTGGGTTCGAGTCCCAGAGTGTACATCAACTCTGAGATGCAGGTATGTCCAGCTGACGAGTCCCGAATAGGACGAAACGCGCATCCTGGATTTCACTGCTAGACACTATACATCATTGAGATGGTGGAGAAGATTTGTAGCTCAGTTGGATGATTTTGGTGGAGTTTTGTTCTCTGAGCTGAAAGAACAAAACTCCACCAAAAGCTATACATCATTGCTTACGAATATGGTTATGTTATATTTAAGTGAGAATAAGATTTCAATAACAAGATAATTATATCTGTACTGATTATTTGTTTTGAAATGCGTTCTTGTGGTACTGGTTTGAATCTTGGTATAATGGATATCTTAGATTTTAAGAGTGAGGCGATGGTCACAAACAACGATGTCATCAAAAAGTGAGTGAAGTTGATAATGGCAACTGTTAAATGAGAGGTAAATTGTTAAATGGTTAAATACTCATTGTGAACTCTTACTGAGATAGGCAGTATCATTAATAAATAAGAGAGTTCTGATGCAGACTTAATGATAGAGATCGGAAGAGCAAGGGCAGCATTTCTAAAACTGAGGAAAATATAGAACTCAAAACAACTGTCAACTAACATCACAGTCATAATCTTCTATACGAACGTCAAGACAGTTCTAGTATACTGAGCTGAAACTTGGAGAACTACTACAGCCATCATCAAAATGTACATGTATTTCTGAACAATTGTCTACACAAGATACTCAGTGTCCGTTAAGCGGATACAGTCAGCAATAGGCTTCTATGGGAGAGAACAAACCAGTTTCTATCTGATCAGGAAATTAAGAAAAGATGCTGGAGATGAGTTCATCACACTTTAAATAAAAACTATCACACTGCATCACAAAGGAAACCCTAACTTGCAAACTTCAAGGCAATGTGAAAGGAGGAATAAATTGAAGGAATGAATATGACCTGGCAACTACTAGAAAGTAGAGCTCAAGACAGAGTTCTTTGGCGTTTCTTAGAACTTGACCTTTGGTCAACGAGGGGTAACAGGCCCTAGTTAAGTAAAGAAAAAATAGAGATTCTAAGTTAAATCTCACTGAGTTGGCAGTGGTGAGATATTCAAGTAAGTTGATTTTCAATAAGACAATCGAAATTCATGGGGAAACCAACTCTGGTTTACAAAACGATATATGAATACTGTTTTGTTAGGTACAACGGTTGCATCACAAGTAAATAGCATATGAGCACTGTAGAAATGTAATATATAAAATAATTCAATACTTAGGGTCGGTTAAATATAATAATATTATTTTAAAACTACTTTATAAAGGTAAAAAAACAACAGCAAGTGAATTTAAACTTCATCCTATTGCACAGGCGAGTGGCTATCAGGATTCAGTAGATAGGTGGATAACGCAATGGCGTTTGAAACGAACAGGACTTGTTTCCAGTCCCAGAGTGAACACCAACTCTCGGATGCAGGTACATCCAGCTGGCGAATCCGAAATACGAAAAAAGGCGTGTCATGTATTCCATAGCTAGCCACTATCCATCTTTGCTTAAAAAAATATATGTTGAAAAGCCTCATTTATTATAAAGCTTGTCATATTGCTAAAGATAAGTTGTAATATAATTCACTGATATGTAATGGCTTTTCCTGGTTAATCAATCGCCCTTGTAACCATTATCATATAAATTTTAACGGTGTTTGAAATCAGATGGCGATAAGAAACGGTAACTACAGTTCCATAGCAGATAGCGCAGATCACAAAGCTATAAACACATCAAGCTTATTTGATGCAGACAGGCGAATATGTATATACAATCAAATACATAGGGAAATTTATAGTCAAATTGCATAAGGCCACAGTAAGGCAAAGCAAACTTATTAATTAGGATTTAAGTACGCACATACATGGGAAGAAGTATGAATGGTCGAGTGATATTTAAGCAGTCAACATATTTTAGCTAGAGTCCGTCATATGCTCTAATGATCATAACAATACAAAGAACTACGCAGATTGTTACTATTCAAATAACATTGTCTACTAAGTAATCTAATATAAGGTCTTAACCAAAATTAATCATAATCGAAATTGGTTGTAGAATAGTTGGTATGGCTATACTATTGTCTATAGTATCATGTTTTATCCATTTATTTTTTTATTTTTTTAGTATTTCAATAAAATACTAATCTTTCTTGTATAAGACAAGTTTTCATTGAATTTTTTTTCAGTATGAAGTTACTTTAACAGTTTGTATAATTGTGCATATAGTTATGATAACTATTGTGTTAAAAAATCCCGAAACAGTATGTTAATCATTTAGTCTTTCAATGTTTTAATGAAGTTTTATAATAAATTCAAGTATGATGATTAACAAAATCGGTTTTGTCGAGATTTTAGTCATTTCAATAGTTAATATCATGAGTCAATTAAGGCTAGGTCATCATGGAAAACTTTGAAGCACTGGATAGCTGTTTCGTCCTAGCATGGGACTCCTCAGCAGTGTGCATTCACGATCCCGCCCCCCCACGAGATTCGAACCCAGGACATATCAGCGCTTAACTATTAGACTACTGAGCCAGTATCCAGTTGTGTTAATGTCTAACTTCAACCATTCCGCGAATCAAGTATGATTCATTATACACTGGTTTATTATTAAGTGAAATGAAATGATATTTTAAGTAATTATAATTGTAATATTGCGTTAAAACTATAATCAAAATAAGTATAAGACATAGTTTGTTTGTATTTAAAGTTAAGGTTTCATTTCATGAATAGCAAGAGTATTTAGGGTGTGTGCTACTGATATCGATCAAAAGTGAAGTGCCTAGTGTCACAAGGTTCAGATGATCGAAGTAAAGAAAACGAGAACAGAAAATGATTGGTATAGAAACGAAAGAAAGACGATCGATTGATGTTTTGCAAAAATTAAGTATTCTGTAATTTGTGTGTTCAAATATATTCGTCTATCTACCCTTGTGTTCTAGTTCACTACAAATTTACTGTTGTTTTTAAGAAGTAGAACACGAAAAAAAATTTGATAGATTTGTTAGGGATTTTATAAACAAACGTGTGACTTTGTTGATTGATTAAATCTAACTATTGACACCTTAACTATTTCCTAAATAAATCATTATTTTTATTCAGTCTGTAGACTGATGTTTCATTCTAGTATGGAACTTCTCAAAGATATACATTCATGACCTCACAAATACCTGGTCACAGAACCTTCAGTTTTACAGATGAACAGTTAACATCTAGATCTATAAAATTCAGTCTATTGTTGTTCATATCAAACGTTCATCAATTCACGATATCGTACAATCAATATCCAAAACTCTTAAAATGATAATTGATTATTTCAGTTTCAGTTTGGAAAGGGCAGGAGGCTTGTTGGCCAGTGTTAGTCCTGGCAATGGCGGTCTCTCAGTTGATCCAACTTTCTTTTGAAATAGTCGACGGATGGAGCCTAAACCACGTGCTGAGGTAATGAATTCCACTCGTTGATGATTCGATGGGAAAGTCGATAGTTAGCTGACAAGTAATTTGTTCTGGTCTTGTGAACTTTTTTGGAGTGTCCTCGTAAATTCTCTGTTTTGAAAGACAAGAAAAATGAGGGCATATCAGGTGCAAATTTTTCACTAAGCAATTTGAAAACTGTAATCAAGTCGCCTCTAGTTCTACTATATGACAATGGGAAAAGGTTTAGCTTGGCCAGTCGAGCATCATACGGAAGCTTCGCTATTCCGGAAATCAGCTTAGTTGCTGTTCTCTGAACCTTTTCCAGAAGCTCACTGTCTTTTTTTAAGCAGGGGCTAGCCGCCTGTATGCAGTACTCAAGTTTAGGACGTACGAACATTGTATACAAAGTCAAAAACGTTTTAGCGTCGACATGATCAAAAGCCCTACGTATTGATCATAAGGTTCTCAAACCTTTGGCGGCTATTGCACGACAGTGGGCAGTAGTCTTTAAGTCTTGGCTAACGATGACTTCTAAGTCATTATGTGTCTGAACGACATAAACTTTTCATTTTATTAATTATTGGCTATTATTTTCTTAAACTTAAACAAATATACGAATAATATTTTCTCTTTTATCTGTTAGACAGAAAAAATGATGGAAAAACTTTTTGCAAAGAATTTTTATCTCTATCGATCAATGAAGAGTCGTGATGGAGCAAGTTTATTTGCAGCTGTTGTAATGATAGAAGTAAGATGAAATTATAAATTGTATTCTATCATGATAGGAAAAACAGATGATAGTTTTTTTAAAATTTTTATTATAGTCTTTATGTGATACAGGATATTGGAACCAGATTAGCAGTTTCTGTTGAGATTGTAGTAAACTTGATTTCATTTATAAGTATTGTATTTCTATGTTATTATTAATGACTGCAAATTAATTATTCTCTTTCTTTTCTATATATGCTTACTTACTTGCTTACTTACGACTGTTACTCCTGATAGAGCATAGGCCGCCGACCAGCATTCTCCAACTCACTCTGTCCTGGGCCTTCTTTTCTAGTTCCATCCAATTCTTGTTCATTTTTCTAGTGCCTATCTCCATTTCCTGGCGTAATGTCTTCTTTGATCTTCCTCTTTTCCTTTGGCCTTGAGGATTCCATGTGAGGGCTTGTCTTGTGACGCAGCTGATTGATTTTCTCAATGTGTGTCCTATCCACTTCCAGCGCTTCTTCCCAATTTCTTTCTCCGCTGGGATCTGGTTTGTTCTCTCCCACAGTACGTTGTTGCTAATAGTGTCCGGCCAACGGATCTGAAGTATTTTGCGTAGACAACTGTTAATAAACACATGTATTTTCTGGATGATGGCTTTCGTAGTTCTCCAGGTTTCTGCCCCATACAGTAGAACTGTCTTGAATTTTGTATTAAAAATCCTGAACTTTGTGTTGGTTGACAGACAGTTGTTTTGAGTTCCAGATGTTCCTCAGTTGTAAATATGCTGCTCTTGCTTTGCCGATCCGCGCTTTCACATATGCATCAGATCCACCCTGTTCATCAATGATGCTACCCAAATATGTAAAGGTTTTTACATCTTCCAAATCTTCTCCGTCAATTGTGATTGGATTGGTGCATGCTGTGTTGTATCGGAGAATCTTGCTTTTCCTTTTGTGTATATTGAGACCTACTGTTGCTAAGGCTGCTGCCACACTGTTCGTCTTCTCCTGAATTTGTTGTTGCGATTGCGATAGGAGGGCCAAATCATCTGCGAAGTCTAGATCGTCCAACTGCATCCTAGATGTCCACTGTATCTCGCGTTTCCCTTCATGATCCAGTCAAGTGCATATATTTCTATATATGCACTTGAGAAAGTTGTATTTGAAGCTTTATTCAGCCACAGGTGTTGGAGTTAAGTCGAGGATGCCTGTTTAGTTTTATTGAACACTCATCAACTGGTTGAACTTGTATTTGGGGAGTAGAAAAGTATTGGATTCCTATTAGGATGCATCTGTTATAGAAGTGACAGTTCAGTTATAATCCTTAATACCAACAATGGGAAATTAAACATTTTATGAATAAGATTCATATTTATTACTCAAGCTAATGGGTATTCATACTCAGTAGCACGATTAAATTTACAAATACAAGGTTTGGGTTTCAGCATACAAATCAATACAGGGAGCCATGCGCAATAGGATAACGTGCCCCCCCCCCCAAAAAAACGAAGTTTCTTTCAAATATTTAATGATTTTTGAAAATCTAGTACTGTAAAAATATCAACTTGTTCTATTTATGTAGTTGGTTAGCAAGTAGCATTTTGTTATACTATGGCAACTATTGAAATCCGGGTGGATTTAACAATTAAGCTATTTGTTATTAAATCACTTAGTGACAAATTTGAACTGAGCTTCAGTTATTTCATTTTAAGCAATTTGCTGATGTTTATAGATCTTATACTAAATATGTCTCAAGTCCAAGAGTACGATTTCTAACTTAGTGGAGTAAAACATCCGATATGCAATTCAAAGTAATGATATAATAGGCTTTTAATTATCAAACACTCAAGGTTTTAAAATCGACTTCAGTTATCTAAAGTTTATTTATATTGGTGTTATATAATGTATGACATAAAGATTATTATATCAACTTATTCTTAGTAAATAAGTTGCTCTGTTATATTGTACATAGTTTGCGTTGTAATAAAACTTTGAACTTAAGTGTTTTATAACAGAGAACAATTCAATCATTAAAAATACTGGTCAGGTTCAGTAATTTACATGGTATAATGATCTAATTTTGTATATTAATAGACTCTCAGTGTTCATCATAGGAAATAGTTGGAGCTCAATTTTCAACCAGGTCTATTGTGAGATAGTAACTTACTGAAGACAATAGTGGATGTGTCGCTCAATCTCGTAAATTAGTTGAAGTTAGACATTAACACCGTTGGATGTCGGCTCAGTGGTCTAGTGGTTAAGTGTTCGTGCACGAAACCATTAGGTCCTAGGTTCGAATCTCGCAAAGTGGAATCGTCAATGCGCACTTCTGAGGAGTCTCATAACAAGAGAAAACAGCCGTCCAGTGCTTCCAGGTGGTCTAGCTTGAATTAACTCATGATCTAAATTATTGAAATTACTTTAATATCCGCAAAAACCCCTTCTGATATTAATTGTTTACATATTGTCCACGATAAATTTTGGAACCAAATGAACATATTCACATCCCATCATTAAGTCATGTATTAATGACATAACATGTGTTGACGTGTTATCAGTGAAATATGACGCTCCAAAATTCACAATACATTTAAATAGATATTCTGCATTTTATTTCTCACGAATGTTTTAACTTCTGACGTAAATTTTAATACAGGTTTTTTGCTTAGATTAGTAATGTTGTGACTTTAAGACCGGCTAGTTATCACGTAATTTATTCGCCAATCGAAATACAACTATTTCACTCTTGTACTATGGTAAACCGATGATGTTCGACAGGAATGAAGAGACTAGCGTCCTTATTGATCCTTTGTTCGCCTAGCCCGTCCAGTTCAGTTCAGAACGACAACAACAGCTTCCACTATGCGAATCATTTATTTCAAACATACTGGGCTTATATACCAATCACACCATAAAATAGGAAATAACATTTATTCACAATAAAGCCTAAATGTTTTACTGTCTCATTTTTTTTAAATATCTAAACAGTTGAAATGCTGTGGTTACATGAATCCTTTCGATTTTGACGAGGACAAAGTAGAAGATACCGATGAATATGATGGTCATACTTATGATGGTAAGCGAAAATATTTGTTTTTCTACACAAATATCGTCTCCGTCAACACTTGACTTAAAGATAAAGAATGAAGTGTTCATCTTGCTGTGCTAATTCGGTATGGCATCTTGGACCGATGCATATATGTGCCTGGTCCTATGTTGTGGCTGACTGACTGATCAACTACTTGTTTTTACTTTATAATAATGATTGTGATTCACTATCTAAATCATTAGCTTTTTATCTTACAAGGTTTGAAAAAAGAAAGAAATTCCAGCCCTAAAACATCTTGTATGATAAAACGTATTTGAATTTAGGAATCACAAGCTTATGGAATTGTTGAGTTCCATAAGGTACATTTTGGACCTGTACTATTAAAAAGATATTATGAATTTATTGAAATAGAACATGTGATTTATTGTATGGTAGTTCACTGGACTAAAATATAAACTCTAGGCTCGAGATCTTAAATTCCTAGATTCGACTACCGGTCAGATCATAGATTGACTTTGTTAAGTCAAATGTTAGGACAAAATAGTTATTCAATGTTTTCTGGTTTTTACGTGTGGTCTTAGTAAGATGAGTTCATGGTGTATATTGTGAAATCCAATAGCTTCCACGATACGTTAATGATAACTAAATTCCTTTGATAAAATACTTAATATTATAAAATGCTGATTTCTGCAATCACAAAACAAATGTGAATTTTTATATTTGAGATCACAAATCGATTTTAGCTAGAAAACTATCCAAAGCCTGAAAGCATTGGACGGTCACTTAGTCCTACTATGGGACTTACTAGCAATGCAAATCCTCCTTTCTCCAACAGTGAATCAAAACCAAGACCTACCGTCTTGCACGCGGGTGACTGGATCACTGATTCTGCATTTAACAATTTCAATGTCCAGCTCCAATCAATACATGATCATGTACAACTCTTCATCGCCCACCTGCGGTGAATTACTGTATAACACCCCACACAGATTGGAGTTAGACAATAGTACCGTTCAATGTTAGATCAATGATCCAAGCGTCCGCGTGAGAGACTGTAGGTCTTAGATTCGATTCTCTGTAATAGAAGTGAGAATGTGCATTGCTAGGGAGTTTCATACTAAGACTAACTAACCGTCCAATGCTTTCAGGTTTTAAATGTTGTTCAAGCTAAGAGCAGTTTGTGATTTCAATTGTGAAAACGCTACAATATCTACAAATTTCGATTTATGAAGTGAATATTAAAGCTTAAACTAAATTAGACTGAATTGGTTTTATGAAGTTCAACTTTTTCATTTTTACCATTTTGTTTCTTTATTCGTTTTGTGTGAAACAAAGTATCTACAATGAGTAACTCAGTGATCTAATGACATACTATAATAGTATAAATAGTAATTAAGTAAAATTGTTAAAAATAACCCTTAAAGGTTTTGTATTCAAACACATTGGAGCAGAACATTCACTGATATTAAGAATAAACATTGGATGTTTGTAATAGATAAATCTGAACAGTAAGTTTTGCTGAAAAATATGTTATGTAACGAAATTTGTCATTCACTGTTTGAAATCATGAGTCAGCTGAAGCTAGACCACCATGGAAAACCTGGGTTCGAATCTTGCGGAGTGCGAGATCGTGGATGCGCACTGCTGAGGAGTCCCACAATAGGATTAAATGGCCGTCCAGTGCTTCCAGGTTATCCATGATGATCTAGCTTCAATTGACTCATTATTTCAACTACTGAAATTTCTAAAATCTCGACAAAACCCTTTCTGAAAATTACTATTTCTGTCCATAAAATGATAATAGTTTCACAAAAGCTCATGGACCAAACTTCCAGGTATAGAAGTTTATCATAAAAGGGCAATGATATTCATCATACAACTGAAGATGGGTTCAGTGAATAAATAAAGGTTTTTCTTAATATCGTTTACATCACTAGCCACCTTAAACAAGAATTGAGTTAGAAATACTTTTCAGAGTATGTATGTTGCAACTCATCCAATAAGAATATACGTATAATATTAGTCCATAAGTAATTTCTAACGATTACCATCCATTTATTCTCGTCCGGATATAACTGTATTGTTATTCATTATCACCAGAACTGTTACGTCATAGTAATACTTAAACACCATTTATATCAAATATTTTCTTTCAGACTTAGTATTACCTGTACCATGCTGTTTGATGGATAAAGACTTGAAGTTGATTGATGTAAATTGTCCAAGGTTCCATTACATATCAGAAAACGATCACAAACATCACAGTAAAGGCTGTAAACAAGTATTTGGTCGTAAAGCATTTAGTTTTATAGCATACATTGCTTATTTATCAATAACTTTGATTGCGATCAATGTAAGTACTATATATATATATTTGTGAATGAATTCACTTGGTGTTGTTTTACTTGTATCTTTCCATCGTTATTTAGAACTGCAATTGATGATCATTCACATGTTGGTATTTATCCATCTTGTTCGGATCGCCTCGATATAGCCTTAAGTGACAAACGTTTTAAGCAAAGATAAATAGTGGCTAGCAGTTGAATCCAGTTTGACGCCCGTTTCGTCCTATTTGGGACTCGTCAGCTGGATGTATTAGATGATGTTGATGTTCACTCCAGGACTTAACTCGCAAACCCCATGCCCAACCCTCCTCCTTTATCCGGACTTGGGACTGGCAGTAGCCCCCGAAGGGACTACGAGCGGAGTTCTATCATCCAACTGAATGAATTTTATTATGTTCGAGGTTGAGTATATTGTAATATGGCTATTTAAACCTAAAATAAATGCATGATTACATTTCTCATAGAATTATTTCTCAGGTAGAAATCTCATGCATATTTCTTTTTCGTTTAATAAGTACGGGGTCAATAAAGTCAATATAATGCACAGAATTCATATCGTCAACTAGAAATTTTAGTTTATCAAATCATCAATAGTTGTAAGTAAGGATAAACTAAAGTTGACTAAAGAAAGACTTCCTATTAATTTTTACAGTAGTTCTTGATATGTATGATTGAAAATAAAGTTAACCTTAGTGAATTTAGTACCAATAGGTCATTTAACCAATATGGAGTAATCATTTACACTAATATCTCGTGGTAATAGTTTATTGGCTAAATTCATCAAAACTACGAATCCTTCATATAGTTGAAGCAATAGCTATTCGAAACGAAATACTGGAGCTTTCCGTCCAGCTTTTATAACATTGACTTGATTAGTTAACATACATTTTAATTACATGATATGACTAATGTACAAACAGCTTTCTTTTTGTATTTTCATAGCTTAGATTTGTTTTATTCATAATATCTTACTATTATTATTGTAATGTTTGTTAAGGGTTTAAGAAATTCGGTTGTCAACCAGCCCTATTTACCGATTTTTACCTAGTTTATATTTTTCTATCTGTTACGTAATTTGTATTGTAATTATACTCTCTCTTACTTAATAGTAGTTATTGTTTATTCTGCTAATTAATCTTACAAACTGTTATATATAGAGCTTAGATTCTTAATATACCGTGTATAACTTGAGCACTCGAACACTGGAACCTTCCAAGTCGCAAATAAGAAGATAGAAGAATGGAGAAAGTGCTTGTTGGGCAAGAATCAAATCATTGATATTTATAGATCTTAGCGTATGTTAAATCAAAATTATAATTCAATCATGTTATGCTACTGACCAATAGTAGCATGCTACGTTGATATTCTAGAAAGCTCCACTGCGTTCTTATTAGATGGAACTCTTCAGCCGTTCTAGAGCCTCTGGAAACTCTGTCGTAGTTATTCAAGCTAACATAAGTTAATAGTTAGTTAACTACTCACAATGTCATATTGTTTTACAAACACTATATACATATATCTATATAATTTTAAAATATGCATTTGCCTTAAAGCGAGGTATTATTGGGATTATGAATTTGGGCACACACTTGTAGAAACTGAAGAGAATTTATTGAAATGAATAATCTTTATTCATTGTTTATGTTTTAATATGATGAAAACTGTTCAGCTTTAAAAGAATAGTTCATCCTTAAATGATATAAATATGATTCAATCTCTAAATTGATTTGTTTTAGCCTGAAACATTATTGCTAATAGTCCATATCTATAAAATGTATGTTATCAAACATTAATAATCAAATATAGTATATACCTGACTTCACTGATATGTGATATAATTGTTTCTGTGTGAGTGGCAATATGAAATGGAATTTTTCAAGTTGTCTTTTAGTGACCCGATAACTGACTCCATTTACATCGTATGAATGAATGCTGTCGAAATATACATCCTAACCATTCACGTATACTATTATCGACTTAATCCTCGTTAGCGAATATGACTGGATTAAATAAGTCAAATACGAGAATGGATGCTGTAATATGTCTATTTTGTACACTCATTGATCTGGACAGATAATCAGAGGGATGAATCGAAGCGAGATGGCGCGCGGCGGAGAAGGCGTGTAAGCCAAATCCATTTAATCAAGCGTAACTAAGTATTTATAGTCACACAAAAATACGCTACAGACATGTGATGAATAGGATAGGTGTACACACACGTACTTTCATATAAAATCAGTCAAGATTGATAAGTGAATAATCAACAAAACGTGACTCAAGAAAAATGAATAAACTAATCTATCCGAAAGCTAGAATAAGCTGTGTAGGCTTAACATAGTAATTGAAATTACAGTCATTTAACTATACATTAATTAGTAATAATATAAATTAGTAAATCACTTTTAGGCGTTTAAATTTGTGTTCACACGTTAAGTCGGTGATTGAAAAGTGTCAAGTAGCATTTAATGTAATTTCCATAAAGCTGACTGTTGAGCAGTGTGAATACATCGTATAAAAACTAGTGTATTCAGATATCGTTTTGATTTACCATCGGTATCAAATAAGCTATTATGCATCTTATACATGTTCTTACACACTTCATGAGCATCTTAATTTGTTACTTCAGATGCCGAAACGCTCACCATTTTGTTAATTATAGGGTTATTGTAGCTTGTTTCATGTCAAAATTATCGTGAACTTGAGTAACCACTGAGTTCTTCATTCCTGGTACAGAACTCTTCGGTAGTTTTTGCTTTTAGTTATCGAAGTGGCGTCTTTGATTTTTAACATAGTCTAAGTAGACATAGTCATTAATAATAAAATATGTACCTGAGTAACATCACAACATTTGGTTGCAACAAGATTTTAATTGATTGTTCACACGCTCCGATCACTTACATCTTGAAAATCGTCAGATAAGTTCTAAGGAATACTTTGTTATTATATTATCCATCATTAGTAAAGGATTAACAATTTCTAATTTGATTGCTTGTATATTATTTGACATGTAACACATTGTTGTACCAATTTCTTTAAAGTAGTTTCCATAATAAATTATCTCGATACATTATTAATCGCACATCAAGAAATTAAGATTGTAGTTACATAGGTTTAAGTTTATTCCGTTAAAGCTTGCAGGTTATTTGAGTAATCGTATTATACACTTTCTCAGGGCAGAGTTCGATAGAAAATTTTGATGGGCGGCCTATGCTCCTCTAGGAGGGGTAACAGGCGTAAGTAAGTAGTAATTTCATCCATCAGTTGACCTATTATAACTCAGTTAACCACATTACCTTTTTACAAACAAACGTTACTAATCTAGTCTGGTTTGTTTATCTACATTTAAAATAACAATATATTATTGTTTTAAACATCTTTTCTATAGATAGCACTTGTGATATGCGTTGTTCTGGTATTGAGAGAAATATGGATATACCTTTAATAATACACAGTTGGCATCAAATCTTCATAGAAAACACAGCATCGGCGGTCATTCATAAACGTTGAAGATGTTTTTGGTTATATATATATATATCATTAGAGATGGTCTGTGTTAAAATAACATTCCAATATTCTCTTTAATATTCATTTTTAAATGATAAAATGAACCAACCCTTTTATTAACTTCTATGTTGTTTTATAAATTTATATTGCATTAATAATATTATGGTGTGTGGTAATTATGTCGACAGATATAAGTAGTATGTAACACCAATCGAAAATGAAATGCCTGTGAGAAGGTTGAGAAAATCGAATAGAGGAGAACGAGAATAGAAAGTAACTAGTACAGAAATGAAGAAACAACAAACTGTAAGACAATTTTTTGATCGAGATCATGAACCGATTAGTATCAGACCACCATTGAAAACCTGGAAGCACTGAACGGCCGTTTCGTCCTATTGTGGGACTCCTCAGCGGTACGCATCCACGATCCAGCTCGTGGAATTAGAACCAAGGGCTTCAGTCTCGCGAGCGAACGCCTAACCTACTGGACCACTGAGCCGGCAAGACAATTGATGGATATTTTGCAAAGAAAGTATTAAAAGTATGATATCAACAATATATCAAATAACTCTATATTGTAGCGTTCAAACACACACCATCATTCATTACTATTTGTCATTATCTATCTCACAATCGATGAAATTGAACTCTACCAGTTCATTATAATTATTTAGACCAAAAAAATTGATATATCTTGTCGAATAACTGTTCAAATGTTGTTAGACGTTTATAATCTCTTGTTTATTTAAGAAAAGCTTTATAAATTTAGTTATCATAACAGTAATTTAACATTGTAACAAGGAAATCATAAGATTATTTGAATTTTCCTCCTTTGGCTTATAATGTTCATATCTTGTTTTAAGTTAAATTCAAACATCTTGAATATTAAGATTAAATGTTATCCTATTTGAAATCAACTCAACATCATATATCATCCCATCATAAATGTCTACAGTTGAAAATGACTGATAATAGATCTATATATCCACAGTATTTCAACTAAAGTTGGACAATTAAGGAGATAAATTCATTTAGGCTTATTCAAGTACAGTACATCAATTCACTAAGTGTTATCTTTGTGCTAGGTTTGAAGCGCATACGAGTTCACTAAGTCTGCGAACGGAACAAAGACTTGTGACCAATGACCAATAAACTAGCTATTCTGTTGTGTCCCAGCCCCGCTAACTAGAGAGAGAAGTCGAAGTCTGAACGGGGAAGTATATTCTACAAAAGGCCAGAAGCATGAGCGATTACAACAGACACAAATCAAAACGTACATATACAGCACCAAACCGTCCTTGGGAAGGGTTACAAAATAGCATACTAAAAGACACATTGAACCAATAGCGTTTAAGATTCTCCCAAATGGGAGATACGACATGAAGGCGAAAAGTGCGCTTTTGGCGCGTAAACAATGAAATTCAAATTTTCTAAATAAAATTACAAAATTACGTCCTTTTCTAAGTGAGTCCTGGGGATCTAACATCGTCAACACTTTGAAATAATATATGGATTAAAATGATTAATAATGGTGAGCTTTCATTCATCTAATATGGCAACTAATGAATACTATGATCAAAATAAATTAAGTTTTAAAATAAATGTTGTGCTGCAGTATAAGGTCATTCTAAGGAGAGTAATAAATTGTGTATATATATTGGACATCATTTTGAATTTCACGATAATTATCTGTTCCTTTAAAATCACAAATATACATTATAGAAAGGTTATATCTAGAAGAAAGCTGACTTCCTATACTTGCTGATGACCTCTATCTGATAAATGTAGTTATAGATATTAGGATGTCTAGCAATATTTATTAACTATAAGTATTCCAAATGTACGTAGAAAAACATGTCCTTTTTGTGATCTGTATGGATGGTTGAAGTATTCATAATCAATTTATTAACGATTATTCATACAAAATAAGATCCTCATAAATCAGTTTTTACACTCTGAGGAAATTGTTTCATTAACATATTGATGTTCCATAGATGAACCAATCTAAATTAGACAATTATTAAAACCTGTAAGCTTTGGACGACTGTTTCATTCTAGTTTAGGACTGCTCATAGAGAACAGATAAAATAGTGGTATTATCAACTTTGATGAAGTCTTTCAATGTGTAATATAGGGTTTTAAGATTGATTAATGGGCTGCTTTTATTGAGTAAGCCTAGAGTATTTTAAAACCAAAATGATTAACCGTATGAATTTAGTGAAGGTTCAATTATTTTTCGACAGTCGATGAAAATGTACTCATGGTTTTGATTAGCTTCATTATAGTATACATCACATACGCTTGGTAAATATGAAAGTTTTGTGTAGTCTACAAGCTATGTATGACACATAACTAATGGGTATTTAAGACTGCCTGGCAATCGGGATTGTTATTCTTAGTTTACAAATACAAATGATAATAATTAATAGTGATCAACGGCTAGAATATTACAAAGGAATGGATAGTGAGCAGATTCTTGACAAAGTGAGAAGGAAAATAAGGTAGATTTCGGTTCCTCAACATAAATGATAAGTTTGAAAATAATTTCATGTTTTATATCGGTTACTTGCTGTAATAATAAATGTTATTTTACATTTAAAGTGTTCGAAAATTCACTTAATATTGTTTACTTGGATCTTCCCATTGTTATTTAGAACTGCAATTTATCAGTCTCTTATTGGAATATGTGCATACTGTGCCGATTGCCTCGATATAGCCTTAATTCACAAACTTTTTAAGCAAAGATGGATAGTGGCTAGCAGTGAAATCCAGTTTGACGCACGTTGATGTTCACTTTTGGACTCGAACTCAGTACCGTTTGCTTCAAACGCCATCGCGTTATCTTGAACATCCTAAACATCAATGGGAAGATTCAAGTAAACGATACTAAGTGAATTTAAACTTCACCCCATTGCACAAGCAGATGGCTATCTGAACTCAGTAGCTAATTGGATAACGCGATGGCGTTTGAAGCGGACACTAATGGGTTCGAGTCCCGGAGTGAACATCAACTCTGGGATGCATGTACATCCAGCTGACGAGTCCTAAATAGGACGAAATATGCGTCACAGGTTCCCCTTCTAGCCGCTATCCATCTTTGCATATAGTGTTCAAAAATGTTACGGTAATCTTCCTAAACATTTTCATATCATCATTCTTTTTGAAAACAATCAGTTATCATATATGTGACCTATAAATACAGATGAATTTGATAGCAGAAATCAATTGCCATAGGTTTCTATACAAGATACTCATCAGTCACTACCATCTAATTACATTTACCTAAGTATCAATTTACATGAATTTCAGCTTAGATTATTGTTTAAACGCATGATAGAATGGTTTCGATTAGTATGGATTGGTAAACAATGAATTAATCATATTTATTACTATATCAAACTAATGTAATGTGTAACATCTCACATAAAACAAGCCAATTCAATATTATCAACATACTGAAACGATTCATATTTCTTACATTATAAATAATAGAATCAAAATGTTGCTCAAAAATAATATTACCTGATCATTATACATGTGATCATTGTCAACATTTTGTTTTGTTTATAAACCAAAACAAACAAGAAGAAAAAATATCGATTTATAATTATCGATATTATTGATTGTCTTCTCATATTTGAAACTTCTGTAAGGTTTTTTTTAGTCAAAGATGGATAGTGTTTATCAGTGGAATCCAGTTTGCCCAGCGTTTCGTCTATTTGGGACTCGTCAGTTGATGTTCACTCTAGGATTTAAGGCTATATTGAGGCAGTCTGCACAGGATGCACATAAGCCAACATGAGACTGATCATCAATTGCAGTTTTAAATAACAATGAGAAGATATAAGTAAAAGAACACCGAGTGAATTTGTGTAGGTTCTGTTTATTTTTAAAGAAAGAAACAACAACAAATAATTAAATATAGGATTAAGTGTTGATCCAAATTTTGATCCAAAGACTTCTTATCCTTCTGAGATCAATGTGTTTGAATGACTTGTTATTATATTTCAATCACTAATCATAATTTGATCAAGATCATCAATTTTTGGCAAATAATTGGATTTTCATTATACATGAGTATATATAAATCTAAAATTTTATTATTTATTTATTAAAAACAAGTAAACATTGGTACAAGAAGGTACCAAAGGGATATGCAGTAATGTGATCGATCAATTTGTGTGAAGGTTGAAATACTGGTTGGATACCTAAACCAAAGCAGTTGGTTTTATTAGATGGACACTAGGTAGGTAATGCAATGTTACGAGAGCCAATCCCATGGTAGTCGGTGACTAACAATAGGTTCATACATCATTTGTTACATCAGGATGCTGGAGCTCATATACACCATTGGTTTAAAATCAGGGAAGATCAAAAAACACATCACGCCGAGTAATGCAGACAGATATGAGAATAATGAACAACAGTTGGATAGAACTAGAAAGGAAGGCCTAGGACAGAGTGGGTTGGAGAATACTTATCGGCAGTCTATTCTTCAATGGCAGTAAGAGGTGTAAGCAAGTAAGTAAAGTATATTATAAGTAAAACTGGATGGTGTCTAGCAGTGTAATACATATATGCCAATAAGAGACTGATCAATTACAGCTCTAAACATCAATAAGAAGGCTCAAACAATCATTGAAAAAACGAATTAAAACTTGATTGATGAATTTTGTTTATTCATTATATGGTCTTAAAATGTAAGACCCGTTATTGGTATCAGGCGATGAATTAATCACTGACAAAGTGATATGTGGTTATGGATAATCTAAATGGAAAGTCTCTTATATTTAAAAATGCTTTTACTGATGTATGCTGTATATTGTCTCGTACATAAAAGATACATCTTAATCAGGATTTCTGCTTTTTTATGTTAATATGTTTGACATTTTTTGGTATACGAAGGTACTAGAACACAAGTGAATATAGTTGTACTACACAACACTCAATATACTACTTGTTTCAAATATGAAAATATTGATTATTATCTTACCGAGTTAATACTGTTCCACTTTATTCATCAGTTCTCAGAACTAAAACAATTAACCTTCTTTTAAATACTGATCATATAAATATCTGCATTGACTTTGCCCATACTGGTCGGATATTCATCGAAACGCTAATCATATATCCGGTCCTTTTTCTTATTTTAAATCCTATTCTGACGAAAAATCATCATTCGTAACATGCATTCAGAGGTCACTGATCTCAATCAAAAACTTAATAATCTCCACAACCCCTATACTAGTAACCAACATGTGCTCACTAGTGACTAGCTTCGTGAGGGAATTCTCGGAGTTCTAGTAAGAAGCCGTGATCAGTGGAGCTAATCCATGTCGGGTAGAGACAGGTATCTGCCTCAGTACAACGGAAGTTGGTCGCGCAATTTCGTGGGTTGGTTGATGTAAGACACTATCACCATTGGATGCCGGCTCAGTAGTCCGGTTGGTTAAGCGTTCGTGCGTGAGACCGAACGCCTTGGATTCGAATCGCGCGAGCAGGATCGTGGATGCGCACTGCTTAGGAGTCCCACAATAGGATGAAACGGCCGTCCAGTGCTTACAGGTTTTCAATTGTGGTGGTCTAACATCAATCGGTTCACGATCTCAATCAAAAACATAATAATCTCCATAACCCCTATACTAGTAAATATAAATACTTGATGCATACAAATATACCCAATTGTCTTAACTAATAGAAATTTCTTGAGTTATATCTTAACTTTGAGTTACTTGAACATTTTGAGTTTCACCATAATCATTTATGTTTTATTGAACAATGGAATCTGGTGCTTTGAATTTGCAATTATTATCAGACCTCAATAGATAGGTCACATTTATAGTGAATTTTTCATGAATTATCTTCTTCTTTATTATATATCACTCATATTTACGATGAATGCGTATTTTATTATGAAGTATACGTACAAATGGAGGATAATAGTTGATTATCAAGGAGAAACCACTACTTTTCCCAATTATTAACATCGAACTGTTGAGTTTATAATGTGCAAATTGAATCCCTTATGTCAATTCATATATATTACTAATTAAATGCTAGTATATTGGACGATAACTGTGGTGAAGGAAAACCAATTTACTGATTAATGTAAGATTACAGAGTGCCTTTGTAAAAAGTGAGAACCACATATTAAATACATCATTTGCACATCTCTCATCACTTATCCCTTATATGCTTTAGCATTATTTCAATTCTGTTTTTATTACAATTACTCTCTGTTTACATTCTTGTTTTCGTCAATTCAATCTTCTGAATCTTCTGCTTCCAAGCATTCCACTTTCGTTAGCTGATACATATTACTTATATCTGTCAGCATAAGTAGTATGCACCACACACCACGTGCAATCAACGAATTTGTAGATGAATATTACGTATTGTTTGGTAATATGTATATTCTTTTGGTCAGTCGTTTAACCAGTGCATTTATAGACATTTGTAATTTGGCCTATCAACCATTATTGTCTATTATCTTTATAATTTAAAACAACTAGTCCATTTGATAAATTTCGTTAGTGCAATGAAAAGACGAAGATTATCAGAATTATGTATTGTATTTGCGCAATACATTTCGAACAATCTGATCACATACATATACTTGTTGAGACATTTTTATATGAAAATTACAAGGTCAACTAGACAGGTTAACGGTAAGCAGCGATAAAGAAAAAGTACACAAAAACAATGTAATAACCACTTTGGATAATAAATCAGTGTTACCAGGGTAGGTTAAGTGTAAGGACAAATTGTTTTTGAATGTATGAAATGGGGTTTCAATTTCCGTATAGCCAAGGCTTTAATAAACCTTAATATACGTCATGAAAGGCTTTTATATAACACTACAAATGCTGATTCGATATCAACCTTATAACCCGTTTCAATTAAGTGTTTCGCAATGGAGGATGATGTCTGTCTATCCTGTGATCTTATTTGACCATCGGAATCCATTTGTTTCTATAACCATTTTTGCATGTGTTTACCCACCCTTAATTGCAAATCACGATCGCTCCTCCCCAAGTACGTGTTTCCGCACATTCGTGCAAATTGGTAGACGCAGTGGGATGCGATACAATCGCTCACGAGCTGTTTGAGCCTTTGGTGAAACATAGACCTTGTCTTTTCAATAATAACAAGCTGAGCTGCATAAAATGTTTGGTTGCTAGCCAGTTTATGTCTCCGTTTCAGCATGAGTCTAGTTGTGTCACCTCTAAATGGTAACATAATGTAAACTCGCTTTCTGGGTGCCAGAAGCGTCATAGGTCTAGTCGTATTGCAACCCTTCCAGCGGTTTATAAACTTCAATGAATAACCATCATTTCTTAACGTATCAGTCATGAGCTTCGTCTCTACTTCAATAGTGTCATTAGTACAAATAAGATTGATTCTACTGAATAAGCCCTTTATTATTACACGTTTGGGCAGTGACTATCGAAATTAGGATATTGCCCTGTCCATGTTGGCTTTCTATATATAAAACGTTGGATGAAACCGTCATCTTTCCTACTAATCAGGAGGTCTAAAAATGAAGTTGATTGTTCTTTTTTTCTTCGCATTTAAGAGAAATGTACTTTTGACTTGTATTGAGTTCTTTTACCAAGCGGTTTACATCTTTACCTTTATCACCTATGATTATGATATCATCAACGTACCGTTTATACAGATATACCTTTCAAACTGATCCTTCAGCTAGATTTTCAACATATCCCATGGACACATCTGCCAGCAACGATCCTAAAAGTCTACCCATGGCTACATCATTGATTTGTTGGAAATGCTAGCCCTTTATACGTTCTAAAACAATTTTTCCTTAGACTCAAACCACCATGGTAATACTAACATATTATACAGAGTGGTAATCAAAATTGATTTTGTGTACTTTATTGTTATTTTTTCTTTACAATTTAGCTGGTTTGTCGAAATCTTCTAAAAAAAATGCACAAGGATATAGCAAAATATCAGAAGGGGTTTTGTGGAGGTCTTAGAAATTTCAATAGTTGAAATCATTAGTCAATTGAAGCTAGACCACCATGGAAAACCTGGAAGCACTGAACAGCAGTTTAATCCCAGTATGGGACTACTCAACAGTGCACATCGAGTGGTCTCATGATTAGGCGCTCGCGTACGAGGCTGATAGGTCTTGGTTCAAATCTCGTGGGGTGGGATCGTGGATGCGCACTGCTGAGGAGCCTCATACTAGAACGAAACAATCGTCCGGTGCTTCCAGGTTTTCCATGGTGGTCCAGCTTCAATTGAATCATGATTTCAACGAGTGAAATATATTAAATTATCCTGAGCATACTTTAAGTATTCTATACTCTACTTACTTTAAATGTGTAATGTTTAAAACAAAGCAATCAAAGCACATGAACTCAAATAATTTATTATGAAAAAAGAAACACTTTCCATTAGTTGAATCATTGTACTATAGATTGTTCTAATTTATAATGAATTTAATATTTCTCGTTAACATGTAATCATCGATGGATCAAAAGTATTAAATGGTATATTAATATTTTATAAGTTAATAGGATTGAAATCTTTAATTGCTTTCACTCCAATACATAACATGATTACCTATGTAATGAATGGAATTAGAAAAATACATTAATTAACTTTTTTAATATTTTCTTTTGATTAAAAACTGATTAATATCAGATGGGTTTTGTGGATATAATAGTAATTTCAATGGTTAAGATTATGAGTCAATTGAAGCTAAACCACCACGGAAAACCTGGAAGCACTGGATGGCCGTTTCGTCTTGCTATGGGACTAATCAGCAGTGCGCATCGAGTGGTCTAATGGTTGAGCACTCGCGCGCAAGACTGATAAGGTTATTGGTATTAGTTGTGTTGCATTTGTTTTATTTTCATAAGGTTGGTTCAAGTAATCCATTATTTTTATGTGATAGATATAATGATAGTGTATATTTTCATAAGTATTATTCTATTAAGGATTTTTTTGTTTTTATTATTGTCGTGTGAGTGTTATTAGTGATGGTGATGTATAGCCCAAATTTAGTTTTGGATTGCGAAACATTTATAGAGGCAAAATCATTGGTTACTCCTTCTAAAATTAAGCCTGAATGGTATTTTTTAGGGTAACAAGTGATTGCAAAGTTATCTGTGTAAATAAATGAAATAAGTGTTTAACTGATTAGTTATAGAGATTATTGTACCAACTACTAATGATTACTGAGGTACATTTTGATATTTCCTAGAGACAGTGTAATTTGTAGAAGTTAATCTTGTAAGACATAATACAGGCTTTATTGACAATTCTGATTTATAGTCGTATTGTGTTATGAATTGATTGAGTGTAAAATTTAAGAAGAATGAGTTTGAACATTTTGACAAACAATAATCCACTTTCCATGGCCCTGTTCATCTTAAGTCTATTCCTGGGTAATGTTGTAGGCATATGATATTGTGAAGTTCGAATTCAGAATAAATCAGCTGTCCAATCATCATCAGTATAGGGTTGTGGAGTTTGTTTAGTTTTAATTGGGATCATGAACTGAACAACATTAGACCACCATTGAGAATATGCGAGTAACAGCCGGCCGTTTCGTCCTAATATTGGACTCTTCGGCAGTGAGTATCTTCGATCCTTCACATGAGACTCAAATGCAAGACCTTCTGTCTCTTGTGAATGCCTAAGTTTCAGACTACTAATCCGACATCTAACGGTGTTTATGTCTAACTTCAACCAATCTAGGATACTGTGTGACCATCTTCCATTATCTTCGGTGGTTAACTGCCCCACACTCTCCAATCATCACTAGTTAACAGCATTTTAATCAGGTGAAATAATTTCGCCAAAAATCTTTCAAAATATAACAATTGATAATTTTAATACTGATTTGTAAAAACGCGAACTATCAAAGTAAGTTACCGAAGTATGTCTTTGTTATAACTGGAAAACTGGCTTGTAACTGGGTAGGCAACTTTTATATATGAGAAGTCATCTTTGTCATGTGTGTATCAACTCTGTTGAGTCCGCCGCACCACTGCCTCTACTTTATAATCAGAAACCATTGCAAAATGCTTTATCCCACTTCTTATACTGTGAAACGCGAATCATTGCAATTCTCACGATGCAAAGGAGAACACAAAATAGTGATAAAACGAAAATTTATTGACTTCAAAGCATGATAATAAGTGAGTACCAAATCACATATCGTATACTGAACGATGACCTTGGTATTAATATGTCTTATCTTTTCCTTCCGTCTAGGACTGATCATTTGAGAGGACATTCTAAGAAAGTTCAAAAACCGAGGTCAAATCATCTACATGTGGAGTTTCGTATCTCGCATCCAGTAGTGAATTACTGGAATTCTCTACCGGAACGCGTAATATCAGCACCTTCTGTTGATATATTCAAAACGAGATTGGACCTTCACAGTGTTACAGACTGCAAGGATTAATATAGATTGATAGTTCTCCTATCCTTATTACTGAAGACTGAAATGACTTTAAAACACGATGACAAATAAATCTCAAAGCACATCCAAAATCAGATCATCCTTAGACCACTAATACAATCATTTATTCGCCAAATTTCGGACACACTTAATAGTATCATATGATGGGAATATATATATATATATATATATATATATATATATATATATATATATATATATAGTTGCTGTAAAAGCTCACATAATAAATATAGTTGACCTAAGTTAATACACAGAATAAAATTGTCATACTGAACGTGAGGTCACACTCTTCATACAGAACAAAGTTCATAATGAATTGACACAATAAAACATTGACCTATATAATGTCATTTTCTTATCCCTTTATATCATCCTCAAAATGCATAAACTACTTATGAAGTAATGAATAACAATGGAAACTAAATAAACTTACATTAATTAATAAAACTGAAATACTTCCAAGTACTATTGTATTTAAATATAATGTTATTTCTTCTGCGAATGGTTTATCACAACCAATTTCAATATTACTATTGTATTTTGTATATTCAAATGGACATGTAATGTTGATTATTTCTAACTGATCATTCATTTTACAACATGGTATAGGTTGATTTATACCTTAGAAACAAAATAGGAAGAAAATACGAGGTAATAACATATCTTGTATTTTTATCAGATGGGCGTTATGTGTAGATCTTAGAAATTTCAATAGTTGAAATCATGAGTCAATTGAAGCTAGACCATCATGGAAAACCTAGAAGCACTGGACGGCCGTTTCGTCCTAGTATGGGACTCTTCAACAATGCGCGTCCACGATCCCGCTCCCCCCACGAGATTTGAACACAGGACCTATCAGTCTCTCGCACGAGCGCTTAACCATTAGACCACTGAGCCTGCATTCAACGGTGTTCAACCAATCCAGGTTTTCCATGGTGGTCTAGCTTCAATTGACTCATCAATTCAACTATCGAAATATCTTGTATTAGTTCAACGAAAAATTATAAGAATATTATTATTATCTAAAATATAAATACTGTTTGATCTGCTATCTTGACAAAATCAATAATGTAATCACTTGAATCTTCATCTTCATGAATGGTAACTAACTATTGTATATTACAAAACATCTTTATTCGTTTTAATTGACGTATATAATTCAGGACTCAAAGCTAGTTGAAAAAATATCAACATCTTATATTAAAATGAAAACACGAATTATCTGTCAATTAAAATTTTATAGACCAGAACATTTCTCGACGTTTCTCACTTGAATCATTCAAAAATCGATAAAACACATTGAAATAGACCCAACTATTAACTGATAGTCAGTGAGCAACAACGTAGAACTTTATGCATATGTACATCAGTTCAAGTTGCCATATCATATTAACACAGAGACACAATTATCGATTCAAATCCCATAGTGGTAGAGGTAACAAAAGTATAAGCAGTAATCGGAAAGATTAGGGTTTGAAGATATTATTCAAGGAGTGTAATTCAGTAAAAGAAATTTGGAAAGATAAAACAAGGGACATGAAGAATTCAGAAGATTAGAATTTGAGAGAACACAATGAGTGACTGATAAGTATAATGATTAACAATTCTGAGGTTGTGTTACAAGTTGAATGAAAAGATTTATCGAATAAATGTGCAGAAAATCATTGGACAATTGTTGGAATTTACATTCACTTGTTGTTATTTTACTTGTATCATCTTATTGTTATTTAGGACTGCAATTGATCAGTCTCATGTTGGCATATGTGGATACTGTGCCAATTGCCTCGATATAGCCTTAATTCACAAACTTTTTAAGCAAAGATGGATAGTGGCTAGCAGTGGAATCCAGTTTGACGCACGTTTCGTCCTATTTGGGACTCGACAGCTGGATGTACATGTATCGCAGAGTTCATGTTCACTCTGGGACTCAAACCCATTACTGTTCGCTTCAAACGCTATCGCGTTATCCACTCAGCTACTGAGTCCAGATAGTCATCTGCTTGTGCAATGAAGTGAAGTTTAAATTCATTTAGTATTGTTTACTTGTATCTTCTCATTATTATTTAGGGCTGCAAATGATCAGTCTCATGATTATCGAGTCCCGGAGTGAACATCAACTCTAGGATGCATCCATCTGACGAGTCCCGACTTGGAAGAAACGTGCGTCAAACTGGATTCCACTGCTAACCATTATCCATCTTTGCTTAAAAAGTTGGAATTGACAGTTTAAATTTAATGTCACGAAAAGCTGAAGTTTGTACTTATAATGTTGTTCTAGATAGATGATCACATTTGCAAGAATAAATCACTGAGCCAAAAAACTCAACTCTTCCGGAAATGTTTGTTTAATGTTTTATGCGAGTCTAGTTAGAATAAACGGAATACAGGTTTACCATATTACCGTTTGTCAAAAATAATTTTATTGTAGAATACGTTGTTGTTTATATATTACCACCATTGAATAAACTACTTCTACGAATTCGATGTTCATCTTGTTGTGCTTATGAGGTATGGCGACTTGGGCCAATGCATATATGTACCTGATCCTACGTTCTAGCTGACTGATTGAGAACACGTTGCGACACATAACCTTCTCATATATATGGGATAAAATGACATGTGAGTTAGCTGATGATGACCGATTTGATTTGGTTAGGGAAAAAAGTAAAATTCCGCAGCACAAATTTAATAACTCACCATAAATTCTGAGTTATAGGACTTTAATTTCAACTAAGTCTGTATGATTTTTTTAAGGGGGGGGGAGCTTCTTGTGAGTAATGTGTTCAAAGTTGGAAAAGCGTCATAATCATATTTTCATCTTCGATAAGAATTCCATGTTATTTTCCTTTTAACAGTACTTTACTGTAAAAATTAGACTGAATGTGATAGGACAATATGTTTATCGATAAATGAAAGAAATTGAAAGCAATTAGTCCCTTATTTATAAATTTCGTCAGAGCAATGAGAATACAGAGTTGATCTGATTGTTCAAAATGTATAGCGGAAATGCATCGCATTTTTCAGATCAACTTTGTTTTCTCATTGCCCTATTGAAATGAAAGAAAGTTTAAATTTGTGTGTGAAATATCCTTAGGCTTAACTAGTTTAATAGTATGCTCTTAAATCTGATTGCTTACCTTATATGTTTAGCTATAATTTTTTCGATGGAGTTTTGTTCTCTGAGGTGCATGGTTTATTCGTGGAGCTTTCGTCGTTCGTCTGAACGACTTTTATCTGACATTTGTGCTGATGATGTCGTGTAGAAGAACGATGTAAGCTTCACGACTAAACCATCCAGCTCAGAGAACAAAACCCCATCAAAAACATCCACCTGAGCTACAAATCTTCGCCACTATAATTTTTTTCAAATGTTTATTTAAATTCAGGTAACCTCATGAGAGAATATCACACATCAAAATACAATATTTTAAAATATCTAAATGAAAATACTGAAAGTTAAGTTTACGGTACTTAAGTAAGACAGTTAGAAGCACTATAACATTGCGGTTAGTATACTTTCTTTTAATGGTCAGTTTCCATCAAACTTTAATGCACTTTACTTTTGACATCACAGTTGAATAATAGTCAGTCAGCTATAACGTAGGATCAGGCATATATATGTATCGGTCCAAGTTTTCACAGCTCATTAGTACAACAAGATGATCACCAAATTCATAGAAGTAGTCACTTCAATGGGAGACTTTTCATTTTGTGCTTCCTGAACATTTATTACAGCATTCTATCTTCTTTTTATTCTACCTGATCATCAATAAGCAGATTAACTACTAGGAATGATTAGGATTAAACAATATATCTTAGCGAGCATGTTAACTTGTTATCTATGAAAATCTCTTACTGACTAGTTTTTAATGACTTCAATAATAAATATGGTTTGTAAATACGTTTTGTCAGGATTATACTGTAGGGCCAGCGAAAAGTCACTAAGCCCTGGCCAAATCATCCGGCAGTTGGGTCATTGAATATCGAGCAAATCATCGATTCTCGTCAAGGTAAGTGACAACCGGCCCATGCGGCAGTGGTCTCACTTTTGCTTGTATCTACTTTTACTAATATATTTCTGTAATAACGTCCTCTGTCGTACAGTCTTCAAAGCATCTATAGTACCTTGATACGTCAATGGGTAGTCCACGTAAGGTGCTAACCACGAGGTGTGACTTCAACGTTAGCTAGCTTGTCACACCATTCACGTCTAACTCGAGTAGGCCTCCAATCATTTCGACACAGATAATCTACGTTGGTGATCTACAATACTTTTAAACATATTACAATCTCTATACATGTAGAACTTATTGTAACATCTCCACATACACACATAATCACAGTTGTACTAAGTAATATTATAATGGATGAGAATGCTCGGGTGTAGAACCAATATGCTGATCAACGCAAACTTACAGGCTGTCTCGGTAAAACATGAAAACCATACATTTAATACATTATTTGCATATCTTCCATCAGCTGTCTCTTACAAACTTATTACAGTAAATCTCTGTTAACATTCTTGATTTCTTCAGTTCAAACTTCTGAACCTTCTGCTGCCAGGCATTCCACTTCTGTTTGCTGATACATACTACTTATATCTGTCAATATAAGTACCATACACCACAATATGATTACATATCACAATGACCCAACAACGTGAGGATTATGAATGATTTAAAATGATTCAAAATCATAGATTAGTGATTATGCCTTTAACTGTAATGCTCAGTAAACCAATTTCGAACATAATTAAGCTCATAATTTCTCTCAAGATCATATATACATCTTGTTAGCTACCGTCAGCTTAAATATATTTTAAGTGCAAAACTGCCTACTAGTTACTTTTAAACACTTAACATCAGACAGAGTGAACTAAGATATCTATTTATCTAATCTGGTAGCTACATGGAAAGTTTGTCGATGAACTTAAAGGGTAGTCAATATTGACATTGAGTAACTATGCAGTGATCATTTGGTTTGAAGTATAAAATACATATCATTTGTTCTCACCATGATAAAGTATGTTATCGTAAGTATCAACTGGATCAAAGTTTGCATATCTCCAATCAAACTGACGATATGTAGCTCCACAACAATTTAACTGAAACATTAAACAATGTAAAAAATATTTGTAATCCTGTTTAACCTCAGTATAAATTTTCATTATAAACAATCTTAAATATTTACAAAAACAAGCTATTTTTCAAGTGAATTGTTCCTGGCAGTGAAATCTAGGATGCAAGTTTCATTATACTTAAGACTCATCAGTTGAAAGTACCTATGTCCAGTAATAATGCTTTAACTTAATATCTCTCTCTAAACGCTTAATGTATAATCCGCTGAACTACTGACTCCAGATAACCACTAACTTGTTTAACCGGCATACCAACAAAGAGTGAATAAACTTCAGTCACGAATATCAACAATGTGATAATATAAACCCTTCCTAATAATGATATAAAGTTAGTTTCGTGATTTATTTATGCCTAGCTTATTTGATGAATTTATAATTTTTAAATGGACTTATTTTTTTATGTCATAAATTTTTTAACTATAGTTTTGAGCTATCTTGGTAGGTACAAACTGCTTGGTTGTAGTCTGCACCATAACCGTGGTCTGTGGTGTTGAAGATCTTAGGTAGCATAATTCAGCATTTTCCACAATATCTCGTATATATTCACTCGTTTTCACCAGATCTTGAATCTCGGTGTTATCATTTCAGATAAATCATCAGGCAATAGTGTGAATGAATTTTTTTCATTTAGCAAGAATTAGTATCCAAATTACTAAATATCTTTATGTTTAATGTATCATATTGACACTATGACGCTTTAATAAAAATGTCGGGCAGTCGAGGTGGTTACTTCGTTACATTAAATTACGCATGTTTCAATGGGTGACCTACCTAACCAGATGGCCGGAAGGACCTCCTTCGCTATCCCGTCATTTTACCTGCTTCGGTTTGGGCATCCACGCAGTATCCCAGCCCCCATATAAATCGAATGATTTATGTGGCGCTTATCTATTTGGTGCTTCCTTCTACCAATGTTTACGTGTTTTAATAAATAAATAAATAACAAAGAAAATGTCCAAATTTTAGGCATCATCAATATGAATGTTACTGATATTATCTTGTTCAACTATGCTTAAGCCAACAGTATTTATGTCGCGAGTAAATTAACTAATATCTTAACGCTTATTAATCAAAGTAGAAATCTTCTATCCTCAATCAGAATACGAGAAAAGGCAGCTGATGCGCCTATATTGATAACCTGAAAAACCCACATGGTTATAAGTATGAATTACAGGCACACGACGCATTATAAAAAAATCCAAATGTTGATCGCTAAAATAACTCTCATAATTTGTCACTAATACTTATTCATCTCATCTTAACAGTTATTAAACTTTATTTCTACTTACCATAACCATTACACTGGCAGTAAATAAGCTTGCCGGAGTTCCACTTCTCAGTGATACATATTCTGTCATTAAACCTCTCAGAAAATCTTTCAAATGATCTTCAATCTAAATGTTGTTTTAAAAAAAAGATAATTAATATGGGATATAACAATAACTATATAAAATGATGTAGCTTTATCAATAGTCTGATATTACAGAATTGAAGAATTATATTTGTTACACTTATTTGAGAAACGTAGATATTCTATCAACTATACTATTTTTCTAGTTATGAACTTATTCGTCCTGATCTATCAAAAGATAGGTTGATAAATACATCATTAACATTCAAGTAAACTGATGATGTATATATTTATACAAAATGACAGCTTCCATTTTTATTGTATCTCAGAAAATGTCTGATTATCGTGGACAATAGAACGATTGTCTTGATCCACTAAGTAATATTTATCACATGAACAAGATCGTAATTGTTCATCTTATTCCCATGGTTTGGGACTCCCCATGAGCGCACTCATCCGCAGCCATATAACATATAGTGTTCAAGATTAATTATTTGTTTACCATCACAGAGTGAAAGTGAATGTTAAAAGTAACAGATGTACAATTCTTCTAATGTATATTATAACTTCAAAAATGTTCCACGTTTTATTCAGGAAGATTTGGCAGGAAGAACAAGTGCCAAAAAACTGGAACGAAGTATACCCCATCAAGATACTAGAGAAAGGAGGTCTGACAAAATGTGAGAACTACAGGGAAATCATACTACTATCGATAACAGGGAAAATTTTCAACACAGTGTTGCTAAACCGGATTCAGTAGACGCTCAACTTCGAGATTGACAGAGCAGATACCCTGAGGATCGGTGGAACAAAGTCCAAACTGCAACACTATGAATCATTGCCGAACTATCAATCGAATGAAACTCGTCACTAAACATCAACTTCCTCGGTTATGAGAAGGCGCTTGAGAGAGTGGATAGGAGAACACTATGGAAACTTCTTCGACACTACGGAGTACCTCGGAAAACCCTCAAAATCATACGGAATTCATACGACGGATTACATTGAAAAGTCGTGCAGGAAGAACAGCTGTCTGATGAATTTCATTCGAGGACCAGTGTCAGGCAAGGTTTCATACTATCTCCCTTTCTAATTCGTCTAGTGATCAAGTGAATTATGAAGACCTCCACATCTAAAGGAAGACATGAAATACAATGAACGGTATGAGTGCGACTAGACGATCTCGACTTTACAGATGACCCAGCTCTTCCTTCTCACACTCACAAACAAATACAGGTCAAAACAACCAATGTAGCAACAACCTCTGCGGTAGTAGGCCTCAACATACACAATGGAAATAGCAACATTCTCATATACAACATAAAGAACACCAACCCAATCACACTTCATGGAGAAACTCTGGGAGATGTGGAATCTTTCACGTACCTGGTCAACATCATTGATCAACAACGATGATCTAATGCAGATGTAAAGTTGACGATTGGCAAAGTAAGGGCCACTTTTCTACAGTTGAAGAACATATGGAACTCAAAACAACTGTCAACCAATACGAAAGTCATAATCTTCAATACGAATGTCAAGACAGTTCTATTGTACGGAGCTGACACGTCAAGAATTGCTACAACCATCATCAAAAATGTACAAGTATTTGTGAACAATTGTGTACACAAAACACTCAACATCCGTTAAGTGGATACCATGAGCAATAGCCTACTGTTGGTGAAAATAAACCAGCTTCCATGTGAAAAGGAAATTAGGAAAAGACGTTGGAGGTGGATAGTACATACATTTTGGGAATGATAAAACTGGATCACGAGACAAGCCCTAACTTGGAATCCAGAAAGGAAACAGAAAAATGGATGGCCGAAGAACACACTACGACGGGAGTTGGAAGCGGACATGAAAAGAGTGAATAACAACTGGAAAAAACTGGAAAGAATTGTAGAGGACAGTGTTCGATGGTGAATCTTTTGGGTAGCTAATGCTCTCTCTAGGAGGGTTAACGGGTATTAGTAAGTAAGTCAAGAAAAGATTGCTGGACGAAACTTTGGAATCATTTAAAGTTCAAACTCTGAGATTATTTCAAATATAATTTAACATATAATATACATTTACTTATTTGCAAAATTACGTTACATTTTCTACAAATATCATTCTTAACTTACAGTTTGTTTACTGAAATAGTATCCAACGATTAGCATTAAATGTCCAAGAAGAAGGAATCCTAGCATGATTTGATACTTTAAAATAGGTACAATGAAATGGAAAATAATTACAGAAACACAAAACTTTTTTCCAGTTGAATAATATTACTTAAGTTATATAGTAGTATATGTGTAGACTGAAAACTAGGACGAAAATGTATTTTGATAGTTGATACATTTCAACAATCTATGTTCACCATCACTTCTACTGTTCATTGAAATTTGGCTATATTATCTGCATTCTGTTTTATAAACGGTTATCCTGTGTATTTTGGAAAAAGTAGTCCTCAATTTTTTTTCTTTTGGCTCAGTTCAATAATTAAGCCAAAACAAGGCACAGAATATTGGTCAAAAATTTGATTAAATGAAAAGAGAACAGTTTTTTGTTCAAGTGAATCTAGCTTATCGAGTCAAGGCCTTAATCCAGATCGAGATAATTTTGTCATGTATATTATTAGGGTCGATGGATCAAGGAAGCAATAGGATAATTTAAATTAAAAACATTGTAAGGATTTATTGACAATTAAATTATTTCAGTAGTTGATATCATGAGTCAATTGAAGCTATACCACAATGGAAGACCTAGAAGCACTGGATGGCCGTTTCGTCCTATTGTGGGACTTCTCAGCAGTGCGCATCCACGAACCCACCCCGCAAGATTCGAACATAGGACCTATCAGTCTCGCATGCGAGCACTTAACCTCTATACCTCTATACTACCGCCTCTGTAGAGCACAAAGTATTGATTTGCTGAGTACTTCTGAGTACGGGACTGCTGAACTTTAAACAAAAAGAATATCCGTTGAATGACCTTGAAATTAACTTCATTAGTAAAACTTTAAGAAACATTATCTGTATAGGGTTGTTGATGTTGTTGTGTTTCATTGAAATCATGAACTGATCAATGGTAGACTATCATTGATAACCTTAAAGCACTGTCTTAATATGGGATTATAAAGTAGTACTCACAGATTGCAGATTGCAACCGGACCTAGGACCTTCAGACTATAAATTGTTTTTATCTATTGGTGTTATCTAATTGATTTTCTCTCTGAAAATCATACGTTTTGATTCAAAACAACTAGAAATGTATAGTTACAAGATAAATGATTATTTGGTAAATTATAATATTTTCTACAAGCAGTACTTCCATATTATGAGGTAAGGTTTGATATTTTAAGTCACTGCAAATATTCAAGTGACATGGATTTACGTGAAAACAACAGTTTGGTTTAAACTCATCGACTACTTTTATGGTACTATTTATTTAAGATACTCAAAATATTACAATCATTTACTGAGTCCTGATAGCCACCTGCTTGTGCGATGGGATGAAGTATCGATTCACTTTGTATTGTTTACTTGTATCTTCACATTGTTATTCACGACTACAATTCATCAGTCTCTGGTTAGCATTTATATATCCAAATAAAGCAAGAACAAATATTGATGCAGCATCAATATTTGTTCTTGCTTTATTTAAATATATATATCCTCTGTGTATGGCCTCGATATTGCTTTAAGTCACAAGCTTTATAGGCAAAGATGGATGATGGTTAACAGTGGAATCCAGGACTCGTTTTACGTCTTATTTAAGACTAGTAAGGTGGATGTACTTGCATTTCAGAGCTGATGTTTACCCTGAGACTAAGTGGATAATGCGATGGCGGTACTGGATTTGAGTCCCGGAATGAACATCAACTCTGGAATGCAGGCACATCCGGCTGAAGAGCTCCAAATGGGACGAAACGCATATCCTGGATTCCACTGTTAACCATCATCCATCTTTGCTTATAATACTTGTGGATTAAGGCAATATTAAGACAATACTCACATGATGCACATTTGTTAATAAGAGATTGATCAATCGGAGACTTCAACATCAATGAGAAGATCCAAGTAAACAATACCAAATATATTTAGTTCTAATCATTGTTCTATTTTATATTTAGAAGTAAATTATCAGTCAATATAATTATAACACTTACCATCCTTAACAAAGAAGATTTTTGATTCCATACAGCAATGAATCCAATAATGCAAATTATTAAATTGCCTAAACTGAATGTAAATACTGCAATACATAAATTTCTAAAAAAAAAAGAGAGAACAAAACCATAGTAAATAAACAATGGCAAACAAAGAACATATCTCTATGTTAAAAAACGTATTCAATGTGGTGATGATTGTTTCTTGCTTTGTAATCTTAGAATATTTTATTTAAAAGTAGTTTATAATGAATAAGAATTGAGAACAAATGTAATAAAGCCTATGAAATTTAGAAATACTTTTCGATACTACTATTGTGGTGTATGCTACTTATATTGATATAAGTAGTATATGACGTTAGTTGTGAACAGAAAGTCTGGCAGCAGACAGACAAGAGGATCGAAAAGTAAAGAATGGAACAGAATGCAATTTGTACGAAAATGCAAGAACAATGAAGTCTGAGTCATTATGAGACAATCGATGGACATTTTGCAAATTAAGCATTTACTTAATGATTGTTAGATTTTATGAACAAGTCCTGTAATTTTGTGTCAAATACATTCGATTGTCCCCACTGGTGTTCTTGTTCACTGCACTATCATCAAAATGAAATTTTCTATCTTTAATTATAAGGTATACCTCTATGCTTTGTGGTATAAGTAATTCATAAATGACAAAGAATATTGTGTGTGACCCGAGATCTAATTCCAGTTAGATCGCATGAATGTGTTGCTGTCGAAATATATATACATATATATATTGTCAATCCTCGTATATAATTATCGACTTCAATCGTGTTGGTGAATAGCGGAATTAAATAAGTTCAAATACGTGAATGGACTTTTGGATACATATATTTTGTACAATCGTTCATCTCAACAGAGAATCAGAGAGACGTGACGAATGAAGCGACGAAGTGAAAGTGAAATGAAACGCTGAGAAGTGAAGATGGTGTGTGAGCCAATACCATTTAATTAAGCGTTAATCTGTATTTATAGTCACTCAAGTTACAGATATGTGATCAGTATGATCAGATATACATACACATACGGTCATATAAAAACAGTCAGGGTTAATAAGTGAATAATTAACAAAATCAAAACGTGACTCAGGAAAAATGAATAGACTGGCCTGTAAAGAAGCTAGAATAAGTTATATGGGCTTAACATAACAACCGACACTACAAATGTATGGTCAAAACCGTATAGTGATATCATAAATGACAAAAGTTTATATCCAACACAGAGCGTAAGTTCCTTTAGGATTTACATGTGTCTCTCGCTGACAAGTGTCAAATAGCACCAAGTCCATTAATTCCTCATAGCCACTATCCAGTATAATAATCTGTTTTACGACTAGATTTTTTTTGAAGTTGATCCATAAATCATTAAAATACTCTACAAATAGTTCATTATCAGGATCTTAAATATCTTATTTTAACAGTGATTCATTGAATTACAGGAAAATGGCTGATTTGAACACGTTATTGGGCAGTAGGATACGTATTGTTCACTAATCATCATTAGTATTTGGTATTTGTTGCATTTGAAAGAGTTCAAGAAAGGTTAAATATTCAGAATTATGCTATACGGAATCGTCACTTATATTTTCATTGTACTATGGATAAGTACTTGAGTTATGATATTTTCACAAACCACTGATTGTAGACTCTCGTTTGACTTAAAAACCTTTGTCATGTTTCACAGCTTCACAATCAACTTTAATTAATTGTTTCCCCATTCTTTTGACTTCATGTCACATATGGCTTATACATGTACAGATTATGATTTCTTTTTTGTCTTATTGCATGACCAAGTATTTGATGAATATTATCATATAACCCTTTAAGTTGAGATGAAAATAAGACTGTAGAGAAGATGTCTGATTGTTTATTTCATCTTCCGATTGAACATTAGGTTATAAAATCTTTGTGTTCCATTAGTTATTTATTTTCTTCTAACTTTGTATACTGCCAATAGGTTTTTGATATAGAGAACGTCACTGGGCTATGAGCGGACTCTAAAATAAATAGTTCCCTATTATCTAGATGCCAGATCGACCAGTCTCAACAATAATAAAAAGGGGACTATACAATATCAGTGTACTAATTAACCATCTTCATTACTCGAATAAAACATTACCATATGATTCTATATATATTGTTATTTACTACACCAAAAGTAACAAATATGAAAGGATATTCTTCTGATCTCAAGTCTCAATGAAGTTCAAAGTTAAGACTATAATTTGTGGGCAACCATTGAGAGTTCGAAGTGACCTTGGGAATGTCCACCTACTTATTAGGGCTAAGTCAGTGTTGTAAAGCAGTGTGAAGAATAAGAATTATGATTTACAGTTGGTGGTAAGGGTTAGGATTTTTGATTTATGGTTTTCATCATGAACTAACATCAGTTGAAATACCAAAACGCTATTTGAAGAAATGGATTGATGAATTCCAAGCCAAAATCCATGACCTATTATTCTATATCTAATTGTTTCGTCCATAGATTATAGTCTCGTCAGTTTAAAATCAATATAGTTTGTAAAGAAATTTTATTCATTACAAATCAACTTACGTGTAATTGTCATAATCAACTTTCCAACACCACTACCATAATTTGAACTTGGTGGAACAACATGTTTTACAAATAATTTTATTGTTTTACGTAATATCATAAAATTAGCTTCTTCTGATAACATAAACAATCCAGATCCAGATATTATTAATATGCAAATAATCTTGTAGTGCAAAAAAATAAATAAACTAATCAGTGATGTATTGAAATAATTTTTATGATCAAATTAAATTATCATGAACTTGTCACTGTTACAATGTCAGTTGTCTATGGTGAACTCATTTCTTTAGTACAAAGTTATCGAATTGTTACACGGCTATAAATTTTGGATTTGTTTATCAAAATATTTTATTTATCACTTCATAGATAATCTCTTCTGAAGATCCACATAGTTCATGGTGATGTTAAAATTTAAAGAACACTGATCGGTTACTTCATATTTGTATAAAACTATATTATCAAGTGTTGAGACTATAATTTATGGACGACTATTGAGCGACGTTAAAGTAACCTTGAGATTGTCCACCGAATAACTAAAACCAAATGCAGGTTATAAACCATCCTCGATACCATGGCAAATATGTGCTACCTGCTTCTTCAGGGTTTTAGTTACTGACTTTTCGTTACAGTGGCCTTCGGCCTTTTCGTAGTCTTGACTTTCAGTTTGGTGTCCTTCTTTTCCTTAGGCTTTCTTAAAGTTGATTTGGGTTTATTAGCAGATGGTGCTTCAGTTTTTGGCTTAACGACCTTGAGCTTAGTTAATAAAAAGGAACAATGAACTTGACGAGAGACATTTTCGGAACGAGTATAGTCCGCAATACCAAATGCAGATTCTGATAATGCTATACGATTTTCCACAGACATCGATGAAGTACGACTAAGTGGGTCTTTGAATTCAGTTGAATACAATTGTTCAAACTTATCCTTTAATTTCTCCTTAACCGAGAGGTAATTCAGTACACGGTTGCTTTCATGAGGTTCTCCGTAAGGGCCAAACAGTGTCTAACCCAATATAGTCCTCACAGCAGATGGTTCGTTCGTCTTCCTGTTTTTTATCTCTTTCATCTCGTGTACACCCGGTGCGTTGCACCCAATCAACAGTTTGACGTTCTCATCTTCTACTCTCGGAAAACTTATATCTCTTAAATAGGACCAGGATACCATTTGTTGTGCCATTGGGACAGTCCTGTAAATTCCCGGTAATTTTTTGACTGTCAATACTTTCTGGACCTTAACGGATGACGAAAAATCTATCAAGTGCAACCTCTTCGGATAACGATGGCGTTTCATTACTAAGAGTCTTTAAAGATGCCGTTTTTGGTTTCCCCTCGAGGCCTAACTTATCAGCTAGGTTAGGAACTAACTTTAGGGTTTTCATCACGAACTAACATCAGCTATAATGCCAAAACTTTATTTAGCCAATTGGATGAGTGAATTTCGCGCCAAAATGAGAGACATTTTATCTTATACTTGATTAGTTCGTTCATGAATTATAGTCTCGCCTATTAAGTTATGTTATTCATGAATATTTCTGAATGTAAAATTTCTTATAATTTTTAATGTTAATTTCAATTTTATATATATATATATATCAACAAACTGCATCACGAGGCAAGCCTTAACGCGGAATCTTGAAGCCAAAAGTAAAAGAGGAGTAGCGAAGAATATATCGCGTCGGGAATCGGAAGCAGACATCAAAAGAATGAATATCAACAAGAAAGGATTGCCTAGAACATAGTTCAATGAACAGTCCTGATGGGCAGCCTATGCTCCTCCACGAGGGATAACAGGTGTAAGTAAGTAAGTAAGTAAGTAAGTAAGTAAGTAAGTTTCACGGAATATTCATTGAAAGACCTGCGAATTTCGTTATGTATAATGAATGAATCCTATGGCTTCATTAAAGAGGATGAAGGTGTTGCAGTGAAGAATGTTTTCTGTTCGATCCTAGCTGTACATATAGATTTTTATGACTATTGGTCTATATTAATATAGTGAAGTACTACAGTTTTGCAAAATATGATCAAGTTTGTTCAGGAATCGAATTTATAATACCGGGTTCGAGTTACGGGGTGAATATGAACTTTGGGATGCAGGAACATTAAGCTGACAAGTACGAAATACGATGAATAGATTGTTCTGATCTCATCCATTTCTACCTAAAATGTTTGCTAATTGATAGAAAAATTAAGGTAATCTGTATAGCACGCACAAATGCTAAATAAGATTGATCATTCTCAGCTTCCAATATCCATGGAAAGATTCAAATAACCAATCAATATGAATTAACATGTAATATGTACTTGAATACATATTTAATGCTTGACTGAGTCTGACTATCTTTGTTAATATCGTGAAATTCCCTTTATTTTACTACGGACTACTATATGTAAAAAATTACCGACGACTTGAGAACTTAACATCAACGACAAGGAAATTTCGTTTGAATACAATTTTTTTTCATCATTTTGAAGGGTTTCAAGTTTTGTTACATAACTGATGTATCGAATGAACTTATTTTGGGTACGGGAACGATTTATAAAGAAAATAGTGTTTTCTTTGAATGAAATAAGAGTTGGATCAATGAGAGGTGGAAGAGTTTTAGGATATTTATAATGAAACTGACTCATTTCAATTTGGAAATGAAAGCTTAAATGAACTATCAAGACAAAACATTATTTAACAATGTAAACTATAGTTAACCCACTAATACCCATCTTAATACAATCAGTATATCATTTCTTACTACATCTAATAGTTAATCTTTAAACAAGAATCAAGACGATTACTTGTCGAGCGATGTAACTTTACTTGGTGTAGACAATATAAACCTTCAAACAAACAACCCATATCATTTGTCTGTCAAGATATATCACTGAAATAACTTGAAAACTACAGACAAATCAATGTATATACATTTCAGAGACACTATTAGACAAACGAGCATGGAAACAAACATTTTTCTGCGAAATGTTTATCTTCATACCCACTCAAATTCTAAACGGATTATAAAAGTTATATGATTTTATTATTTACTATGTAGGCTATTTTCTACATCTTATCGATCAGTACAACTAATTTTCAATTTATTTCATTCTACATTAAGATCATGAATCAGTCGATGATAAATCACCACTGAAAATCTGAAACCACTATATGATCATTTCGTTCTAGTATGGGACTCCTCAATAGTGAGCATTCAGGATCCCGCATACGGAATTCGAACTCAGGACCTTCAGTATCGTGCGCGAACGCCTAACCTCTAAACCACTGAGCCGGCTTCCAGTGGTGTTAATGTCTAGCTTCAGTCAGTTCATGAGATTGCGCGACCATCTTCTATTGTACTGAGGTAGATACCTATCTCTACCTGACACGGATTAGCTCCACTGGTAACGGTTTCTAACTAGAATTCCGAGAATTCCCCCACAAAGCTAGTCACTAGTAAGCACATGGTAATTATCAGTATAGGGCTGTGAAGATTGTTACGTTTTTGATTGAAATCATGAGTTACTTGACGATATTACTATGTAGCCTCATGGCATGAAATGATTTTAACAAACACATTGCATGTTTGCATATAAATATAAATTTTTCTTTTCTACAAAAATGGATTGCTTGAAGTTGGACATCAACATCGTTGGATGCTGGCTAAGTAGTCTAGAATTAAGGGTTCGGTAGTGAGACAGATAAGTCCTCAGTTCGAATCCCGCGGGGGCAGGATAGTAGATGAGCACTGCTGAAGAGTCTCGCGATAGAACGAAACGGTTGTTCAGTGCTTCCAGGTTTTCCATGATGGTCTAGCTTCAACTAACTCATGATCTCAACTATTAAATCTGAAATCCTTAATTAAATTGTAAAGTTGTGTTTTGATGGTTTTTATTGTTCAATCATCGATGAGCAAGGAGGATCATATGCAGACGTAAAGGCAAGGATCGGAAAACCAAGGGCCACATTTCTACAGTTGAAGAACATATGGAACTAAAACAACTTTCAACCAATATCAAAGTCATAATCTTCAATACGAACGTCAAAGCAGTTATACTGTACGGAGCTAAAACTTGGAGAACTACAACAACCATCATCAAGAAGGAACAAGTATTTATAAATAGTTGTCTATGCAAGATACTCAGCATCCATTGGCCGGATATCATCAACAACAGCCTAGTGTGGGAGAGAAAAAATCAACTTCGAGCTGAAGAGAAAATTAGGAAAAGATTATGGAAATGGATAGGATATATATTACGCAAACCATCGAACTGCATCACGAGGCAAGCCCTAACGTGGAATCATTAGGGGAAGTAGAAGAAAGAAAGGTCAAAGAACACATTACGTCGGATAATAGAATCATTTATGAAAAGGATGAACAACAACTGGAAAGAGCTGGAAAGGATTGCCCAGGACAGGGTTGAATGGGGAATTCTGGTGAGCGGCTTATGCTCCTTCACGAGGAGCAACAAGCGTGAGTAAGTAATTTTGTTTTAAATGTTTTAGAAAGATCAATGCAAAAATGTTTTTAAAAAAACAATGACAACAATTGACACTCACTGATGTAATAAAGTTTACAGTGAATAATAATGTATGACTTCTTGCAACGAACATGGTGATAGATAATTCTGAAATAATAATATAAAACACATTTAAAAAAGTTTCTCAATTGTAATAATGAAATATAAATATTATATATTACAATATTAGAACATAAACCCCATGGAAATCACTTCATTCCAATGTCAACATTTAGTGTTAAGCTTTCCAAATTTAGGAAATTTAATTGTCAGTTTAGGGGTTGTGGAGATTGTTAAGTTTTTGATTGAGATCATGAAACGACTGATGTTAAACCACCATTGAAAACCTGGAAGAACTGGACGACCGTTTCGTCCTAGCATGGGACTCGTCAGCAGTGCGCATACACGATCCCGTCCCCCGTGAGATCCGAACCCAGGACCTATCAGTTCTGATTAACTGAAAACTGGCCGTAAATTTGTCGCAGTTGTTTTAAACTCGTTCATTATTTATAGTTTTAACACGAAAAGAAAAACCAACATAAAACTGGTGGTTTTCTACTTTATTTTTTTGTAAAACTAATTTATATCTAAGACCAGTTCATTTATATAATTAACTTTATGAGTTAGTGATTAGATATAAATAACAAACTTAAATATCAAATTATAAGTTTATTTTGAATAATCTTTTTTTTCTGGTTAGCGTTTTTAAGCGAGTTAATATGATGAACTTACTTACTTACTTACTTACGACTGTTACTCCAAATGGAGAATAGGCCGCCGACCAGCATTCCCCAACCCACTCTGTACTGGGCCTTCGTTTCTAGTTCTATCCAACTGTTGTTCATTCTTCTCCGAGAAATAGAGACATGCATGAGAAGAATGAACAAAAATTGGGTGAAACGAGAAAGGAAGGTCCAGGACAGAGTGGGTTGGAGAATACTGGTCGGTGGCCTATTCTCCATTGGGAGTAACAGGAGTAAGTAAATTCATTATTTTAAGTAATATTTCTACATTTATGATGGTGTAATATGGGTATCAAGTTCATGTATTTAAAATATTTTGCAACGAACTTACCAACAACAAAAGATAACGTTGATTTTCAAGAACTATCTTCTTTTAATAAGTCCCCGAAGTTAATAACCTGTCTGCTATAATAAAATTTCTATAATTCTAAAATGATCTTACTTTAAACGGGTTTTTTTTGTATAAATGCATGTACTTAAACTAATTACATCTAATTTGGAATACCAAGCAAACATTTTATGTAAATAAAAGGATTATATTACAAGACAACAGGATTATTGATCGCGATGATGATGATAATCAGACAGTGTTGAATCTACTAACTTTAATAAATTTCTTGCTTTGTTATCTTGTGAGTTACACTTATTTTTGAGTAGTTAACTTTAAAAAATGAATAAGATTTGTGCTAGAAAACAAATTTATAATAGAAATAACAAGCTAGAACCAGTGTAATTTTACTTTTCACTTGGTGGTTGTTAGGTGAATTAAACCATCGGAAAGCATGTGTTCGAGTCTCAGAGTGAACATCAACTCTGAGATGCAGGTACATCCAGCTGGCGAGTCCCAAATAGAACGAAACGCGCGTCCTGAATCCCACTGTTAGCCACTATCCATCATTGCTTTCAAATAGTTCGTGAAATAAGGCAATATCAAGGTATACGCACAGTATGCACATACGCCAATGATAGACTGATCAATTACAGTCTTAAACCTCAATGGGAAGATACAAGCCAAGTAATATCAAATGTAACACATTTGTTGAAAAAAATGTGTCATAGTATCACAATATAATTGCTGCAATCAAGGTTATCCTATTATTTTGAACTACTTATCACAATACAAACAAATGAATAAAAACCGCTATTGGTATAAATGCCTCAAATATATGGGCTCATTTAGTAATGATGAGAGAAAACAAAAAAATAAGTAGAAAGCTTTAGATGGCTAAACCGAATCAAAATATATGAACAAAGCTATTCATCAGTATACACATGTGACCATAAGACCAATAAGCTAGAGTTTCAACCTGTAAGATCCATTTTGAATGTTATATGTGAAAATTATATTTGAAATATTCTCAGCGATTGAAATTTAACTAATTCCAACGTTTCGTCCAGCTAACTTGTCTGGACTTCTTCAGGGTAATAATCAAAATCAAAATTATCAAAGAAATATATAGCTTTTAACAATCAGGATTATACTGTGTTAAACCAATCATATTTGGATGTTGATTTTTTGTAAAATAGGATAAAATGAGTCAGTTGACTACAAATCATGTGATGAATTCAACTACATGGAAATACTTAACTGAGTAACAAATCGTATGTGTGTGAGTGTGTATGTATGTATGTATGTGTGAGAGATTGATATGAAGGAATAAATAAAGTTCAAGTTCAAGGATGAAAACTTGATAATGAAAGATCGATGTGCATGTCAAAACATAAATTGTATTGTTTAAAAACTCATTCAGTTCTTTCAATAATAATAACGATGCATGTGATATTAAAAACAGGTTTAAACAAGAGATAGGTTCCAAATTTACTTGTCAAACGAAATTTGCCAGGTAGTTGCCATTTGAATACCATCTTTTCGGTTCAGGCTGTTCTTGTTCGCCCATATATGCAGAGCTTCTGCTGTCAATCTTTCTTTATGGGTGTTAAAACCTTTCTGAAGTATTTTGGTCCCTTCAAAATTAATCTTGTGTCCTGTTTCTAACGCATGTAACGCTATCGCTGACTTATTTTCAAGTTTCTTTAAATCTACCGAGGATTTTGGAACATTTTTCAAGCATTGTTTGTGTTCCTTCAATCTTACATTTAATTGCCTGGATGTTTCTCCAACATAGGTAGCATTACAGTCATGACAGTGAATCTCATACACAATGTTCTGTTGTTCTTCCTTTGCTAACTTGTCCTTAACTTTCACCAATGTCGATCTTAATGTGTTATTTGCTCTAAAATACACTCTTATATCATGTTTGTTTAGAATCCGTTTGATTTCTTCTGATGTTTCACTCCGGTAAGGTATGACTACGGTGTACTTCCATTCTTTTCGTATACTTTCTAGTTTAGTTTTTCTTTCATTTTTAATAATCTTTTTTAAAAACCTTTTTGGGTAGTTGTTATCCCTAAGAGTAGAAAATACTTTATTTAATTCGGTTCGTTGATCTTCCTTGTCTGTAACAATCTTAGTACTTCTGTTCATTAGATTTTTCACTACATTAATTTTCGTGCTCTGTGAATGGGCTGAATTAAAATCCAAGTATCTCTCGGAATGCGTTGATTTTCTGTAAACATTTATTTTTAACTTCTTATTATTGTGTCGACGTTCAACCAGACAATCTAGAAATGCTAGTTTGTGGTCAACTGATTCTAATTCCTTAGTTAGTTTAATGTTTTCAGAAATGCTGTTTGCATTGTTAAATAGTTCTTCCATACCATCCCGTTTATTGATAATAAAAATATCGTCTACATACCTTAACCATAACTTTGGTGGACATAAACTCTTTGCGATTGCACTAGTTTCTAGGGAATGCATGAATAAATTCGCTACAATCGGAGAAACTGGTGAGCCCATTGCTATACCCTCTTTCTGTCTGTAAAGTTGACCTCGAAATATGAATAAGGTAGATCTTAAACATAATTGTGGATCTTTGGTAGCCCATAAAATCTGCATGGATTACAACTCTTTGGATATAACCTAAACCATAAGGACGATCCTAGCTTAGCTTTTAATGACTGTAAGAGTTTGCTAGTTTGCGCCTTGAGTTTATTAAGAGTTGTTCTACTTTTCGCTTCTTTGATTTGTTCATATGGACCCTCTTGTAGATGTTCTTTGGCTTTGTTCTCATACTCTGTTTTATTCATAATAACTGTAGTATTACCTTTATCTGCTCTCGTTATTATGATCGTTTTGTCCTCTCTCAGCTGTTTTAATGCGTAATATTCGTTTTTATTTATGTTAGGGTTGTGAGGTTTCTGATGTAATAATGTGTTCATTATTTTATTCCTCAGTTCATTCGCTGTATCATTCGGGAGTATATTCAGCGCTGGTTCTACTGTTGGTATAACATTGAAAGGTGTTAATTTATGTCTATTTATATTGAAGTTGAGACCCTTTTTGAGTAATGATATTTCATGTGGGTTGAGAGGTCTATCCGATAAATTAACAATTATTTTATTCATATCATTTGTGTTAGATCTATTTTCCGTCTGTTGAACTTTGGTGTTTGATGAATGTTTCAATAGTTTTTCAAACTTCCTAATTTGTCGTTGTTTTGATGATTGATAATAAAATTGTTCCCTATGTTTGAAAAATTCAATTATATATGATCTTATTTCGTTCGGTGCGATAACTGACAATATGTCATCGATATTACAAACCCTTGAACGTAGTGCCTCCAAATTCATAGTGGCCTTGTGTATACGTTCTCTAATAAATGTTCTAGTGGCTGATATCGCCGCTTTGATTGACCGAATAGAATTGTCGGGAGATTTGACCATCAGAGTTTTTGGATAAACATTTTCTTTTAAGCATCGTATATTAAAAATTCTGTGATTGTACCAGTTATGTATTTTCTTTGATAATTTAATTCGATTGGAAAATAATTTATACGAATATTCGTCAAGATTAGAACGAATAGTTTGACAGTAATTGATGTAGTGAAAAATCTAATGAACAGAAGTACTAAGATTGTTACAGACAAGGAAGATCAAAGAACCGAATTAAATAAAGTATTTTCTACTCTTAGGGATAACAACTACCCAAAAAGGTTTTTAAAAAAGATTATTAAAAATGAAAGAAAAACTAAACTAGAAAGTATACGAAAAGAATGGAAGTACACCGTAGTCATACCTTACCGGAGTGAAACATCAGAAGAAATCAAACGGATTCTAAACAAACATGATATAAGAGTGTATTTTAGAGCAAATAACACATTAAGATCGACATTGGTGAAAGTTAAGGACAAGTTAGCAAAGGAAGAACAACAGAACATTGTGTATGAGATTCACTGTCATGACTGTAATGCTACCTATGTTGGAGAAACATCCAGGCAATTAAATGTAAGAA